AAACGCATAGCAGTGCCCCAAGTTTAGGTATATAGGTAACACATAGATGGGGTACCACAATATCGCTTACCTGATCTGCTCTGTTCCTTCAGTGAAGTCCCCTGTACGCTCTTGTAGGTCTGGGGCCACACGAGCGCACAAACTGCATCCGTTTTAACGAACGTCGTGAAGTCCGTTGTAGAAATAAACAAGAGAGGCGAATGCTACGCTTTCTTCTGGCTCCATTACAGACAAAAAACTACGCACCGCATTCTGCAACTGTGTGGTGTCCTCAGCAAAGTCCGTCATAAAGTGCCTTCGTCGCAACGAACGTACTTTGTGCGCTCGTGTGGCCCCAGCCTTAGAGGACATGTAAAACAATGAAAAGAGATCAACATAGATGAGAAGCAAGAAGCTAATGGTAGTTTAGTTTGTCTTAAAAGTAATATTTGTACCACTTGTAAATGATGTAGCTATAATTAATCTCATAGTAATTGTAATCTCATTGTAATCTCATAGTAAAACACCTGAGTTTTGGAGGAATATGTTGCCTCCATCTTCAGGGTCGTAGTACGCAACAAGAAAACCTTAAATATAAGCCTTCTTCCATTAGCATTAAGTTTTTTTTTATTTATTGCTAGTGGGGTGGGGCTAAGTCCCTTGTGCTGCGGCCACTTCTGACCTATTGTACCAGCCCCAGATGATAGGTGAGGGTGATTGTGGAGCAATTGGTGGAATGAAGATTGGCAGGGGAAACTGAAGTACTCGGAGAAAACCTGCCCCAGCGCCACTTTGTCCACCACAAATCCCACTTCACCAGACCCGGGATCGAACCCCGGGCCGCCGCGGTGGAAAGCCAGCGACTAACCGCTTGAGCTATGGCGCGGCCTTAATAACATCGTTACTGCTCTTAGTATGGAAATACGGGTGCGCAACCTAAGTGACCGAGTCCTTTACGTTATCATTAGTTATTAGATTATATTGTCACGTGTATGAGTGATTATTCCTGGTCCTCATTTCTGTTATACGCTGATTCGAACCCAGGTAATAGTGCGGCCGGAAGGATTAGGTCAACTGAAAAAATCCAATGGCCTCATCGGGACTTGAACCCGCGACCTTCCGGCTTGTAGCATAGTGCCTCAATCAACTACGCTACCGCGTGCTAATTAAATAATTTTCCTGGGGAGTAAAGCGCGGCCGGCGCGAAAGGCTGACAAACTTACAGCCATATTTGAGCCGATTGTCTAGATAATGTGGGACCCTCAAAGTCTCACAAGCCTATGGGCCTTCACGGCCTGTTACAGGGAGAGCTTTACTTATACTTTACTTATGAGTGACCATAGAGGGGGTCTGGATTGGTAATTCTATTTATTAAACCCTTATAGAACGTAACTACAAGTAACTTCAACGCTATCGCTAATTCACACACACTGCAGTTCACTACAGTACGTACTAACTTTTGTCAGTCTGCTGTATCTTCACCGGTTGTCGCCTGGTAACGGCTTCCAAAGCTTTAGCTTCCTCACTTTCCGTATTCAATTTCTTACTGGTCGTCTACTAACTCACAACTAACTAAACTGCAGACTTGTCCTACTTATGACACCTCGGCATGGACCGTGCAGTAAACACTTCTCCCAGCAGTTATATTGTTACGTCACGTATATGTCGCATGAGCCGCGCAGAAAACACCGCTTCCTAATTACTCCATTGGTACGTGTTACGAATCTGTTGCGGCTATTACCTAGCAACGGCAGTTGTTTACAGAATCATTACTTCGCAACGGGTCTACATGCTACAGTATTTACAATACACTCCAACGGCGGAGGGAAATGCACACATACATACAGAGGTTGCCTAAACCAAGTGTGACGTACCCTGGTTCGTAGAGCAGATGGACTTAACATGGCTGCTCTCTTGGTAAAATGAACCAAAGAACTATGTACAATCTCTGAATCGACTTCGGTGGTCAGAGGGTCTGAAAAATGTTGAAACTTACCGAAGCGTGGCACAGTATGTCGACAACCGCATGAGCCAGAGTAGGGTGCGAGCCAATGGAACAAGAGACAAGAGTGCGGACGACAGCCGACGGTGGACGTTCCGGGATGCCACCGACTGTATTCATGCCACTCCGTGTCTAAGGACACTAAGGACCATATCGATCAGTGCACCCAGAACAACTGAAGAATAAGCACTGATGAAAGTGCATCTGAAAACAGCATCAGACATGGATAAAATGCAAGATTGGCTTAAAGTCCAAATGTAAACATTCGATTTTCATAGAATTAGCAAATTTGTAGATCGATGCATCAAATACACTTTTTTATTGCTAGTGGGGTGGGACTAAGTACCTTGTACTTTGGCCACTTCTGGCCTATTGTACGAGCTCCAGAAGACAGGTGAGGGTGATTGTGGAGCAATTGGTGGAATCAAGATTGTCAGGGGAAACCGAAGTACTCGGAGAAAACCTACCCCAGCGCCACTTTGTCCACCACAAATCCCACTTGACCAGACCCGGGATCGAACCCGGGCCGCTGCGGTGGATCAAATACAATAAGAAGGCGATTAGCTGGATAAATAATACATTTTCAGCGACTATGCCCCTGTTTTGTTACAACTTGTAACACAATCCCCCCCCAACCGTAAAAAGAAGGGAATGTCACGTGCTATCATGTCAGCTGCAACAGTTACGACTATGCGGGTATGACAATGGAGGCGGCGCTTGACGGCTTGGAAATGGTGGTCACCATGCGCGCTGCCTCTTATCTTTGGTTATGTGACGAACATAACTTGTAAATGCATGGACAAGAGGCAGGTATATCACGACGATCACGATCCATTAGAAGGAAACCACTAGCGAGACTGAGCAAGGTAGACGCCTCCAGAACGCCTCTGTTTCGCTAGATGGCTAGTAATTTGGAGCTGATGTAATCTGATCGCAGTGCAATTTTGACCCGATCACAGTGGTCACGCGCTCTAAGGCATGAACCGTCTTCGCCCTCTTGAACACTGGGTTCGTGGTTTCGAACCCCCTCGAGGCAAGGATGGCTGCTTGCGTTTATTCTGTTTGTTTTTTCCTGTCTGTGGGTAGTGACCTTGCGACGCGCTGATCCCCGTCCAAGGAGGCCTACCGACTATGTGTAGGTAGTGACCTTGCGACGCGCTGATCCCTCTTCCAATGAGGCCTACCAACTGTGTGTAGGTAGTGATCTTGCGACGCGCTGATCCCTCTTCAAAGGAGTGCTACCGACTGTGTGTAGGTAGTTACCTTGCGACGGGCTGATCCCCGTCCAAGGAGGCCTACCGACTATGTGTAGGTAGTGACCTTGCGACGGGCCGCTCCCCGTCCAAGGAGGCCTACCGACTGTGTAACAGATTAAGAGTCCGAAAAAGCGGCCAAGGTCTACAAGGACTGTACAGCCACAGAGAGATAGTACTCGTACAGTTTTGAAATTACTTTATCTGGGTTTTCTATGTATCATAGAAGTTCATGTTCTTTTATTGAAGACCGAAATATATTACTTCTTCCCTTGGGCAGTATTTCATTAAGGATTCACTACGCCGAAAATGTTTCAAATAAAAAAAAATGGAGAACGTAATCTCTATATATGTCATTTGTAGTGTGTGTGTGTGTGTGTGTGCAGGTCTATATGATTTACTGTGAGGACGGGCCTTGCCATAGCTCTGAGGGCTAGTAGCCAGCTTTCCACCAAGGCAGCTTGGGTTCTATCCCATTTCATGTCACGTGAAATTTGAAGTATATAAAATGGCACTGGGGCGAGGTTTCTCCGAGTACTTCGGTTTCCCTTAAGATTTCACGTCACAAAACATCCCACCGCACTGTCTAGACAGTGAAATATTTTTAGTTTCTTCTTTTTCTTCTGTGGTTCTACAGCCCTTTGTTGGACTTTGACTGCTTTTTCAGTTCCTCAATCTTTATCTTTATTATTCAATGATTTATTTCAACCGTCTTCCAGTGCATACACTCATCTATCTCACTCCTCTCTCTCGCACTACATGTTTCGGCACAAAAGTGCCATCTTCAGGTGCTTATTCGATTTACTTTAACTAGTTCACTGCATGCCTTGCCGTCTTCATATTAAAATAATTACAATATATATTTATCATATATATTGATAAATATTAAATATTAAAAATATTAAAATTGTTCAGGATTTTTCATCCCTACGTCGTATCTCACTACGCGAGTCACATCTATCCTCTTCTGTCGGAGCATTCTTTCTGCTTTGTGTTGTGTCTTGCTCCTGTGACTGCGTGTGTTATACTGCTGGGCCTGCTGGGCAGGCGGCCAGAGTTTAGGGGTGAACTCTGTGACCTGCTGCGTGACTGTCAAACTGGAACTTGGGGTAGCATGAGTTCAGAACGACCCTGCTAAAATTATGACTTCCGCTGTCAAACTTTAGAATTTCTAAAGAACCCGGCATCGTGTGACGGATAACAACAATAGTGAACTGCTTGAACAGTGAACTAGAATTGTAGAACGGTAGAACTGTCACTGTAACTCAGTGTACCTTCCTATGTAGCCCAGTCGGACAAATAGAAAACGGTTATGTAATAAGTACTGCTGTTGCCAGACACCGTGTTTACAAGTTCCCTAGCAACCGCTGTTTACTCGCTTTTGCCTAGCAACTGTTGTTTACTCGTTGTTGCTAAGCAATGACGCTAGCATTGTTACACTTGCTTGAATGTGGTCAGTTCCCACACAACGTTTCCATAGTTATAACAGAGGGTTCATTTCCATAGCAGCGGCCGAGGGTATAAATAGGCCAGCTTCGACGAGAAGCAGTCAGTCTGGAATTAATCGCCGAGAAAGGCAGTCTAGCACTTCATCGAGATATAGTGTAAGCAGTCATTGAAATACTGCGAGTGACAACGATTGTAAAGTGTGTGATTCTATCTATATCTAATACGGCGTAAAGTTATTTGTAGCGTGACATACACAAATAAGCTACAATATTTTATTGCACTAGGTTAAACAAAGAGGAAATATCGTGCGAAAAAGAATGACTAAAAGGCGGAAAAACTCGCCTCGACGAAAAGAAGACAATGACAGTTATGAAAGCCGTGCTCAATCAAGCAGGAAACGCAGAAAAATGGGTGATATTGCTTCTGAGAACAGCAGAGGTGCTAATTGTCCTCATTTACCAGCGGTGACTGCAAAGGTGAAGACACCGGTTCTTCGAAAAGAAGACAATGACAGTCCAAGCAGGAAACGCAGAAAATGGGGTGATATTGCTTCTGAGAACAGCAGAGATGCTGATTGTCCTCATTTACCAGCGGTGACTGCAAAGGTGAAGACACCGGTTCGTCGAATAGAAGACACTGACAACTGCAGTGACATTGATGACACACCTATTGAACCATGCAAAAAGAGGAGAAAAAGGAGTCATAGTGGTTCTGAGAGGAGCAGTGATACTGATTGCCCTCCACAGTTACCCGCATTGACTGAAACAAGGAAGACTCCATGTTGTCGAACAGAAGAATCTGACAGCTGCAATGACAGTGATGAAAGCCCTATTAAACCATGCAGAAAGAGCAGCAGGTCGAATAGTGGGGACTCTGAGAACGAAAGCAGTGACTCTGATTGCCCTCTGATAGTATATGCTGAAGTGCAGGGAATTGTGGCTAAGAACAACAAGAGTTACCATGACGATGAGCCTGTTTGCGACGATGAAGGAGAAGTCACTGGACATACATCAATGAGATATTCTAGGACTGAAAGAAATAGGAATATTGTTAGGGTGAGTTGTCCTGAGACAGAAGGAGAAGGGGTATCGGAGGAAGTTAGGATTTTCTCTCGTCACTCCACTGCTGCTCCCACAACCGAGTCTGGTAATATTGGAGCGGAACCGATGCCATCAACATCATCTGGCGCTGCAGCTCACACGTCACAATGCCGTAAGGATAAAGAGTCAGAGAACTGTCCAGCTTGTCCCATTTGCTTGCAACAATTTACCACACAGGAAGTTGGGACTCCAGACACTTGCGACCATATTTTCTGTGCGGACTGTATCAAGAATTGGGGAAAATATGCCAGTACTTGTCCAGTTGATCGACAGCCGTTTTCAGTCATTAATGTTCGACCCCATCCAGGTGGAGAAATTATCACAGAGATCCCTTCTGAATCAACAAGTCAAGAACTCTTATTTTGTCGTGTGTGTGGCGAGTGCGATCATGAAGATCGCATGCTTCTTTGTGATGTATGTAATTTTACCTGTCATTTTACATGCCTGTGGCCTCCTCTGAATACTACGCATTTGCTTGGATGGACCTGCCCTTATTGCGTCTACAGATTCTTCTTTTCTGATGTAATAGAATTCGCGTCTCAGTTGGTAGACAATGAAAATTTACCTGAATAGTTATACATCAATCCTAGAGGGAGACCAACCAGGAACAAACGAGGGCCACAACAAATGCGCAGAAGGACTTCCCGGAAGCAGACAGACTGACACCCAAGAAATAACAATAATTTTAATTGATTTATATCAGCTCCAAAAGTTCTATAAATGTAGATCTGGCTTTGTGTTCCACTTCTTGCCGTACAACGTCGGTTTATATCCACCCTTGTTTTCTTATTTATTGTATATAACTACATGTTTCGGCCTAACTGGCCATCACAAGATGTATAAGTAGTTGTGATAAAGGAAACTGCTGCACTGTTGTAATGTTTTTAGTTTTTCATCTGTGTAAATGCCTCAGATTGTTCTAGGTTATATGGTTTATTGTGCTGTTGTCATGCATGTGTTTGGTTTGTAATATATGATGTGCTATATGAGAGTTTTGTTTTAAGGTACATACTCATTTGTATTCTGTCCCTGCATATTTCATGTTACTTATGGTTTCGTCGGTTTATTGATTTGTTGATTTCGCTATTCTTGACTGCGGTGCCGAAGAACAACCCACCATAAAATTTGCTACAGAAAAAAATTACACAACTCCATCAACTTTCTCGACCTCTCAATATACCGCAGTATAAAGAGATCGAATTTACAATATACAAATGCCCACTCAAACAGATATGCTAACAACTAACGAATCCTGCCATCCACACGAATATAAAGTACCAAGTATCATCTAATTAGTAAATAGATTAAACATGAACCCAATATCCTCCACGGCTAAACTGATCCCCTCTGGAAGTCGGATACGGATGATGGGTTACAGGGTTCGAACCTCGGTATGACCCGTCCGTCCCCTTCCTTAATTTCTACTCTTTTCAACAGATCCAGATCCTTCCCTAACGTGCTCAGTTGGCTGCCTATCATAGCCCTCTGGCCCATTACTGGGAAGTGGTGTCTAATTACCTCAATAACATCCACATCAGTGGGCCTTGGCTGCGTACTTTAGGAAATAGCTGGACAGCGATAAACAGGACCTGGAACTAAATTTGTCTTGGTACAAACTGCATGGGACGAGGCTTTGTTTGGACTTGAACCAAAAGGTACCGGCAAAAGCTGCCTTAAACTGATCATAATCCCCGAGGTTGCGCGCTACTGTGGTCACCCTTGAATTTATTTTACGACGTTAAATCTCAGGTATGCCTGAAGCAGTGTAAGAGTACATCGCATACCAATCTGCTACGAGCTGCTCGTGTCAAGTGAGGCTGTTCTGTATGCAACTTAATACGGACTTCATAATCTTTATGTACAGGAGTCAGCATATGCCACAAAAACCTGATGGTTCAGTTTCCCATGCACTAAATACCCGTCATAAATTGTTTTTTTTTCACATATGCTTTATGAAAACCCTAATTTAATGGTCTATGACTGCTTCCATGTAAGTTGCTACAATCAGATATGACTCCTATATTGTATTCCGTTCATAAAACTTACTGCGTGCTGAAGAGACTAAATAAGGTTTGTATCGATGTCTAAACAGACATTCTTCCGCACGCCATGTTACTATTAGGGAGTTAAAAGGATATCATATAGAGAACGATAGACCTGTTATAAAAGTAAAGTTGTTCCTAGGCGTAACTAGGAACAACTTTGCCTACAGCTGAAGCGCGGGATCATTCTGGTCTATATAGGTTCTCGTGAGAACAGGATAAGACGAGCAGAGGGGGACAAAGAAATAAGCAAGGCGGAAATACCCCCAAAACAAATAACCAAGTCAAATAACAACAAAGAATAAATATAATATATATAGATAAAGAAAAGAATACAAAGCATGATGTAAATACCTGTTACAAGATCACTGCGGAGTTCGCTTTTCTAAATTTCAATACCATGTAGAAAAATAAATTTGGATAGTCGAGGATGGCCTCGACCAGAGGTCTGAAAAGAAAACAACCTACCCCTTCAATGGTTGGGAAGCCAAGCCCCCTTATCTCCACTGCGTAGGCCGCTAAGCCGGCTCAGCAAGGAAGGAGAGAGGGGGAAAACAGTAGAGGGGAGAAGTGCGCACACAGACCATGGACATGAGCCGACGTCACACAGCTCCCACTATAGATGTAAAGGCTAGAGCTAATTGGAGGGGTTTAAACACACACCTAAGTCTTATGAATTCGTCCAAATGATTAGGATGAAAGATCGGGTTAACCTCCGAGTTATCAAAAAACTGAGGCAACGGGAAGTCAGGGCAACTCAACTGTTCGCTGAGTGATGACATAGAGGCTCAGAAGCATTCACACACAAGAGTACAGGAATTAAAATTAAAATTGCCAGACATATTTCCTATTTTAGCAATATTATCTAGGTTAGCAGAGGATGAAGGAGTGCAAGAGCCATGAACAGCGTGTTACTTCCGTACCACAAGTCATGGGAGTCCCTCCGGCAAGCTTGTCTTTCAACTTGTCTATCGCGGAACGTAATAGTTTGAACCTGCGTTCGTTCACGATTTTTCAGGTTATACTTCCTTGTTCAGCTGTGCGATGCTCCCCCCTGCCATTTTTCTAACTCCTCTGTACGTTTCACGAGGGCGCCCTTTACTATTTCTATATCATCAGCCAGGTGAATTACCTGAGCGATAATCGAGTCTGCCTCTGACCTGACTTCTACAATTTTGCTGGAGAGTTCAGCATTCACCTCGTGGTTGCTCCGGGATTGCTGTTCTAGCCGGGCATCGAACTCAGAGATGATCCCCTGAAGCCTCTTCTGCACCATTGTCAACTCCTTTCCCGTATGAAACTGCAGTTTCCTAAGCTGGCGGGACAATTTGGAAGTTTCTGCCTGAAGTCTCCCTGAAAATTCTTGGCTGAGTTTCTGGTCAAAACTGCTCTACCAGTTTCTCGTTCTCCCTCCAGGTCGCCTCTCTCATCTGATCATTGCTTCCTTTCATTTTCTGCTCTAAACTACCTTGCAGCGGTTCGTTACTCTCCTTTATTTTCTGTTCTATGCTACGCTGCAGCTCCATGTTACTATTCTCTATCCTACTGGCCAGTTCTACATTCCCAGCCTTCATCGACGCAATCATGCTGGCGAATAAGTCTTGTAAATAACTCGGGGTAGCAGGAGGGTCAACTGCACTATTTTCACTCTGGCCTTGTATCGTAACTTCCATTGTGCTCAGGTGGTCCTCGGATCTCTGGTCCACGTTGGTGGCTTCCCCGTGTCCCTAACCTGGTCTCATAATTCATCCGGATCTTCTACTGCTATAGCTGACCCCACTATTTCAATACGGTCGCCCTGGTCACATGACAAGTCTGCAGAAAATAGCCCCGATGTGTTCTCACTATCAACCCCTTCCACTTCTATAATCAGTTCCGAAGTGTTCAGCTGGTCATGTGTGTCACTTGACTAACCTTGGTGATGTGCAGATAAATGTTGTTGTGTCAGGCGGCAATCCATGCTAGGGAAGCTAGGTCGTGGCTCCGTCCGTAACTCCCCTGGGCCCATTCAGTGTGTCGTCCTTGACACCTGCGGTGGTGGTCGCCGTCGCTGCGGTGGCATCGTAGGTAGATCCGCTGCCCTTCCTTCACACGTTCGTGCTGGCACTTAACCATTGATTGGTTTCAACTGACCCCTCACTGCCTCTAGTCACCCTTGTCACGATATCGGCCATCACGTTTCGGCACCGCTTTTACCCTGTAGCCATTCTCTTTGTATTACTAGCTCCAGTAGAGAAATCCGACTTCTTTCAGGTCATGTTGACTGGCCATGACTTGGGTGATTAAGCAGGTGTTGGGTGTAGGACGGTCAACACTCAAAACAGCAATTAGCAGTTTCAAGTCTTTATTTGAATTGAATTCAAGTGATAAATGCACCGTAGTGATCAACTCAATTGATTACTGGGTTTGGGCTCTGTTACTGATTCCTAAGACACACTAGTTCGAGAGGAACCACAGGCAAGTAAACTAACGGGTAACCAGAGGTACCTCAGCACGTGTAGCCCCAATGAGTGTAAATTTTGCAGTACTCCGGCCAAGCAATCTCTGAAGGGTAGACACCTGCCCTGATTACCAAAAACTGAGGCAAAGGATGTCCCACTTCAGATTTTGATTGGCTGGACTATGCAAGCTGGGAGGCTGCTTAATCTCTCTCCTCCAATTAGAAAAATAAATTCTCAAGCGGCCAGAGTTTAGGGGTGAACTCTTGTCACCTACTGTGCGATGGTCAAACTGGAATTGTGGGTAGCATGGGTCGAAAACAACCCTGCAAAAATTATGACTTCCTTTCTAAAGAACCCTGTCTCCTGTTATGCATCAACTTGACTAATTTACTGATGTGCAGCTGGCTTCAGCTTGAACCAAGCCAACTGCTGAGCGTCTCAGAAGCAAATATCCAACTTAGAGATGAAAGTGATGAATTTCACAGAACCCTGACCATACAAAAGAAATCAGCTGATGGTCCCCTAAATAGGACAGCCACACTGCTTTTATTGAATGGCACATCCCAGCCCAGTTCAAGCATACCCTTCCAAGTGCACAATTATTTGTCCAGGACTGTTGCTACTTCCCCAGTTCTATTTTATCAAAGACATGTCCAAAAGGCCAATAGGAAGTCAGTGGCTAGTGGTATGGTGAAGTCTAAAGAAGGTGATATTACTTATTAAACTGGAGAAAAGTGATTCTGTGAAATAATAAAATGAGGATTTTAGAGAAAGTTACAACTACCACATACAATCTCAAGGAATGGTTGCTTAAATTTTATGCTGACAATGATGTACCTAAAGCAATAGACAATCAGGAAAACTTACACCAAGCAAGGACTGGTGATGTATAAAATGAGTCACCTGGAATGTACCTAGTTGTGGGGTTGACAAAGAGTTAGACCAGCACATGGATACTGTTCTGCACTGTTCAGAAGATTCAAACAATGATATGGGTGTGAAACTTGGTCTCTGACATTAAGTGAGGAACACAGTGTTTTAGAAAAGGGTGCTGAGGAGAACATTTGGAATGAAGATGGATGAAGTGGTGGGAGGGTGGAGAAAAATTCATAATGAGGAGCTTCATAACTTGTATACTTCACCACATAAAATGATCAAGACACAGAGGATGAGGCGAGCACAGCATGTAGCATGAATGGGGAATAAGGAATGTGTATAGGATACTGGTTCGAAAGCCAGAAGAAAAGAGACCACTAGGAAGACCGAGATGTAGGTTGGTGGATAATATTAAAATGGATCTTAGAAAGATGGGACGGGGTGGTATGGAGTAGATTTATCCAGCTCAGGATAGGGACTTGTGATCATAGTAATGAACCTTCATGTTCTATAAAATAAATGTTGGGAAATTGTTGAGTAACTGCACAACTGGTGGGTTCTCATGAAGGGCTCAGCTCCATGGAGTTAGTTACTTAGTTAGTTAGTTAGTTAGCTTGTCAGTTGGTTAGTCAGTCATGGTCTTTGTTTTCTGAAAGTGTGCAGGGAAATGGCTTCTGTTGAACACAAGGCGGCAGATATCTGTTTTGATAACTCAACCAAAATAATTCCGGATAAAGGGCAAGAGATCTACAATGCACATGAAACCTGGAGATTCACAGCAAGGGAAACTTATTAACATCTGAGTCAGCACTAAGGGAAAGACTTACTATTCTGTCCATTCCAACACAGCATCTACAGGAGCAAATACATGTGAATGATAACAGTATGAATCCTAGGGCACTTAAGGTGTTCAGGATGTTTCCTGTGATTAACAAGGCCAACATGTGAACTGAGATTGCTACACAAATTGTTTAAAGGATGCTTTGTTCTTACTTGATCAATACCCGTTGATTTGTACATTTCAAAGTTCCTTACAGAACTCTTCAACCTTAAAATGACTAGACTCATGTACTGATGGCTCGGCTCCATGTATTTCAGTCTTACATTGTGAATGACATGTACATTCAAGAGCTGATAGAAGTAATTCTTCCATCTATTCGAAATGTTTTGGGAATCTGCAAGTAAATCATTTACCATGTTGGCTCTAGGGTTTTTGCACCTAAACACATTTATAATAATCTTGTTTTTATTGTTCCCTTGAAGCTTGTTAATTCTGTCAATCAGATATTCCCTCTTTCTAGTCCTAAAGTGTCTACTGGCTTTGTGTTTTACACAGTTCAGATTACCACCAGTCACTTGGATTGGATCCTGTTAACAACTGCAATTTAGCTTGCTTCTATTTATCTAACAGTTGGTTGGTTTCCAATGGCTGAATTTGGGATCATTTAACCCATTTTGCTTCTTGCTTCCCAACAGAGAGCACTCAAGTTCTTGCTTTGTTGCATCTTTAAGAAGTTTGCACTTTTCTTTTGGGAAGCTTTGCCAGATTTGTTGCTCATTTTGCACTAACCAGGGGACACGTATGACTTAAAGGATGTCACAGACGCGGGCAACATCATTTGGCAATACATGGCTTAGGCTGCTTCAGTTCATAATAAACAATACTCCCTGTGACTGAAATTCTGACACACACTCTTAATAGTATCCCAAGCCCTATTCACGTACATATCATCAGAGGTCTGCCTGCTTATTACTTGTTTGGCTTACTTACTCTTTGCTCTTAAGATAGAGGAATTATGTATCTCAAAAACACTGAGAAATGTCTACCAGACTCCAGGGCATCACGTACCAGAAGACAGTGCTCTTCAGAGTCACTGATGTGGGAATCTCAAATCCAACAAGGTCACAGACCTTTGAAAGATGTGCATCTTTTGTTAGGGCGCAATCTTTCATACCCCCAGAATACAAAACAATAGCATGGTGGCCTAAGGAACTACTAATGAACCACTGGAGCTAAATTTGTGAAATATAGTATGAAGGTATATCATAAAAACATACCCACAAAATTTGCACAAAACCTTCTTAATATATTAAAAATTACAAACACAGTGATGATATGAAATTCAGAGATCGTATCTCACAAACTGTACACTTATTAACTTACAGTGCTCATTAGCCTTAACAATACAGACCAAAGCATTTGAAAAAAGGAGATGTTGTAAGTTCTTTCCACAACTTCTTCATCTATGTTAACTCTATGAGAGCCACGAGCCAAAAATTCTGACCATTATACAAGCTGCTGTACCTGGCACTATGTAACATGTACTGGCATTTCCTCTGCTCTACAAAGTCAGGAAACATTATAAAAGATTTTTTTTTTTCCATAAACTTGAAGTGCTTAGAGGCCTTCTATATACAGTACAATCCAAAAGTCTCGATCCATTTTCATTAATTCATCAATCTTTTCTGTTTATCTCTGACTAATCAAGAAATATCCTCAATTCTGAATAGGGGGTAGCAATTGTTTCAGCACGACTGCATGGATTAAGCTACTAACAGGTGCAACAAGGTTCTGAAGAAAATTCAGAAAACCAGCTCCTACTAGTATCAAAATCTGACTTCTAGTTAACAATTTCGTGATAACAGAAGTGTGCTCCATTCAGGGAGACTGCAGATTTCTGAGGACAACACATGACATATTCAGCAAAACCCACATGCATCAATTGGCCGTTTGAATAACCAACTTGACATACTATGGACAAGGGTCTGGAGAGTTTTGCATTTTAAAGTTAAGAAACGAGCATATCATCTTCAAGTTGCAATGTGCATGTTCATTTATCTTTTATTATTATTATTATTATTATTATTATTATTATTATTTGTTTTTTGGAGTAACCTGTCTGATGCCTAAATAAGGTTAGTGAAACTGGGGCAGGTTAGCTTATTCTCTGTTGCGACTGTTGGCGACAAGTGACTGCTGCCCAATCATTGATTTGGGTTGCTGTGCCCCGTTTGTGCCTTGATTATGCATTTTTTTGTATATTCTGTGTAAGTCTGTTTTGCTCTTCATTAAATTTTGTTATTGTTATCTGAAAGGCTGACATATCACTGTAGCTTCTCTGTATTGCTTGGATACCCCACGAATATCTTGGGGAGCTTGTAAACACAGCAATAGAGCCAGTGACGATGGGCTGCTTCTCCCAACTTCACAGCTCGAATAAGTAAATTGAAAGATGAAGGAGCAGGGGCGGTTCACAATGTCTTGAAATGGAAGGGGGCCAAGTTGAGCTGTACTGAATATGTTACACAACACTGACACCAATAACATTTATTAACTTTGGCGAAGTCATTCTGTAAAATGGACCAGAACTTTTGGATCATCCTGTATTATTTATACATGAAAAGAAAAATCAGTTTAGGGATTACAGTTAAAATTTTTAGGATTAGTAGACAAGTTCCTGTCATTTCCATTCCCAGTACATTCATAAAAGCTATTATTAAAACCTGTCTTGATTTGCTTAATTTGATTACACACAACTTATTAATTTATTTCATGTAATTCAGTGCTTAATACTTAAATAATTCATGACAATTTACCCCAGACAATAATAATAAACCCCAATTTCACATACAACAGTCAATTAGTTAGAAATACCAAATAGTGATTTGCTGGCTGGTTGGTTAATTTCTGATGCCACACCTTGACTATTACGTTATTTGTGCCTTCAGCCCCAACTGGATCATGTATTTGCAACTCACTTTCTATTCTGACACCATTTGTGTATGTTCCCTAATCCAGTTATCCAGCATACTTCATCTGGGTCGGGTGATATTTTCAAGTTTTTCCAACTCTTGTCCACCAGAGGTTTCCATAGTTGTGCAACCCTAGTTGCATCTAGGAGCACAGCAGGGAGCTCTGTACCTTCCCTCATCTGTTATCATGAGTGAAACGTTCTTGTACATGTCCTACTTGAGGAAGTTGTGCCATGGATTTTTATTGACCTTGCCTGGGTTTGAACGTGCAAACCTTGGGTTCAATGGTGAGCACGCTGCCACTATAAAAGAGAGGTAACATGAATTAAATGCAGCAGCTACAAATGTTAATTCTAAAGATGACTTTAGGGAAACATAAAGAGTACTATCTTCTGGGACGTCGATGGTCCCACATTTTCTAGACAATCGGTTCACAGATGGTGGTAAGGCTGTCAAGCTTACACGCTGGCCGCCTTTAGCCCCAGGAAGATTCCTGGTACTCATTTCTGTTAGAAGGTGAGTCAACCCCAGAGCCACACTGAAAGCTGGAAGGATTAGGTTAATTAACAAAATCCAATTACCTCACTAAGGATCAAACCCATGACTTTCGGCTTGTAGCCTAATGAAATCGCGTAAATTCTAGAAGGCAAACTGGCATCTGGAATGTGTGCAGGCCTGTCATAAGCTCAAGTTTCTTTATAAAATAAGAAAAATGGATAAATATTAAAGATCTGGACTTAAAAGTGGTGCAAATATTAGGCTACAGGCAGACCTACAATGGTGCAATCATATAGTGACTGGCTATAGGCTGCATGACCGAGAGGTAGGAGTTTGAGTCCTGGTAGGATCAAGAATTTTCTCTTCTCCACATTGTCCAAACTACCCCTGGGGCCCACCCGGTCTCCTATCCAATGGGTGCCTGGGGTTTATTCCTGGGGGTAAAGTGGCAGGGTGTGAAGCTGACCATTTATCTCAAACTAGTGCCCAGGTCAAGAAAACATGTATCTATACATTCACTCCTCCATAAACCTCAATGTCCTTAATTAGTTGAGCGCAGGAATAACTTTGCTTACTTTTTTAGTTTCATTAGGTGGCATGTGCACTGGTGGAGTCAGCATTCATTCCAACATGTCGTATTCTTCATCTAGTTTCCGTTTCAGTCCGGAAGAGACATCATTTACTTCAACTTTCATGGGTGTGTTAAGAACATTCCCTGTAGGTGCAGACACTTGTATCTTGGGTTTTGCAATTGGTTTAGAAGCTGGAGTTGCTGCAACATATAAATTATCACTGATTAAAACTACTATCCTTCAATTCCTGTCTGTAAACAGACACTAGCCGGAATCATAAATTTATAATCATACAAATTGGTGATCTATTTTCATTGAGTTTCAAACAACATTCACTCACACAATGTAACATTTGTCAGATATAATCTCAAGGTTCATGCTGCAATTACATGTGCACACCTTTATAATACACAATAGGCACTCCATACTAATTTTATAAGAAGTTTTGATACCAATTCCATACTAAATTTCACTGCCTAGCTTCAAAGGTTGATTAGTTATTATGAAACAGAAACCAAAATATATGTTTCATATGGATAACATGATATTTTCACTGTATAAAATAGTCATGTCAACAAGAGATGTATACTTTTTGAAATATATCACCACACAAAATTTTATGGCCCTAAATTACATTCCATCTTTAGCAGTTTGTGTGGCATTCTGTTAATATTACTGATGGCAGGAAATGAAGATGAATGAATATGTCATCACGAATAGCAACAGGTTCATCCACATGTGACAAAAATATATTAATTTATTCTTAAGATATTGGAGGATGGGTGACACAAAGGGATAGGTACGCAGATGCACATGTGCATGCACATGCGCTCACATGCAGACCCAAACACTATCCACCCCCACGTACATGTATGTGCACATACACGCCATGGACATTACGACACCACAGTACAAAATCATTCCTTGAATAAAGAACCAAGAAAATTATGCTAAAACACTGTTTAACAAAGAATTCTGAGAACAGTATGGTCTTCTGGGTCATAATGCTGTGTAGTTCACAGACAGCATAACATTTCAGAGGCACATAATGCCTCTATCTTGAGGGTGCAGGAGAGTAAGCTAAGCAAGAAGCAGGCAGGAAGCCCCATGGCCTTGAAGATGGGGATATGTTCTTCTGACATGTTGAGATTTCTCTGAACTACATGGTGTTACAACCCAGACCACCAAATTCCTCATGATCACCGCCATGAGAACCCAAAATCTAACAAGAAGTTTTGACGGCCACTTTCTTACACGCGTCCACATGAACCAAAGGACTAGCATATATTATACAACCTTTGTCTATGAAGCTCTGAGACTGAGCCCGTAAAAAATATAAAATTCAACTTATTAACTAATGGTTCCTGTCCCCTTCACAGTAGTCCCCTCTGCAGTCAATACACTGTTGCCAGCATTGGCAAGTCCTGGAAGCAGCTGCTGAATGCCTCTTTCATAATGGCTGTCAGTTCCATTCTCGCAGCCACTTGATAGCCTCTACATTCTCATGTCCTTTTAGCATTCTTTTCAGTCATGGAAAGAGAAAAATTCACATGGAGGGAGGTCAGGGGAGTACGGGGAATGTTGAAGCACAGTAATGTTGTGTTTAGCGAGAAATCTGTTGACACTTGGAGCTGTGTGTGGTCTCGCACTGTCATGCAACAAAGTCCACTGTCCAGATGCACACAGGTCAGGATGATGATGTCAAAGTGGCTCACGCAAATGCCTGAGTATGGAGATGTAAAGTTCTTGGCTGACAGTTTACCCTTGTGGAACAAATTCGTGATGAACAATACTCCTGGTATCGAAAAAAACGAATATCAGTTGTAGTCTTTGTTTTTGATTACTTCTGCCTCACTTTCTTTGTCTCTTCGTCTGAGGGTCGTACTGGAAACACCAAGATTCATCCTTTGGCAATGATACTGTTGACGAACATGGGGCCATTCTGTGCATCATGTAAGAAATCAGCACAAACTGAAGCTTGCACCTCCTTTTGATCCTGAGTGAGTGTGTGGGGGACTAGCCTGGCACTGAGTTTCTGTTTACCCAAGTCCTCTCACAGAAGTTGGTGGCAAGTCGACTTATTGATATTCAGGGCATCAGCTAACATGCACAATGTAACAGTAAGGTCTTCCCATACCATGTCTCTGATGCGAACCATGTTGTCTTTGTTCCAGGAACTGGAAGGCCAGCCTGATCTTATGTCATCCTCCACCAACACCCTGCCACTCAAACACTTGCGCCCGAGAAAGAGCTTCATCATTTTAGGCATCACGCAGAAGCTGCAATGTCTTTGTGGCTGTCTTGCCCAGTTTCACACAAAATTTGATGTTGACTCACTGTTCAAATTCAACATTCATTCTTCTCACAGCACAAATCCACAAGTGACAACTGACATGGGTTTTCTGCCACTCTGCCGCCTAAAGGAGGTCAAGCAAACTAACGTCAATAACACAGAAGAGTCGTAAAATGTCCCATATTTAGAACACTTTTCCTAGAAGTGCCACCACTTACCTAAGCCGAGATATTAAACCAGTCTCAGAACTTTATGGACAAAGGTTGTACATTATTGAAAAAAGAACTTGGTGCATAATTTTCATTACGCACATACCTCAGAATCTCACGTGTTCATGTCTGTACTGTTTTATGCATAAGAAAATACTTTACAAAACTTGTAAGTAAATCTAATCCATTAACCACCTCAAATTTAACATGCCTGCCTTCAGTATGTGCAACAGCCGCTCTGCCCAATCTGAACAACAAGCATCGCACAGCAATGCCACCATGCTGTCACTTAAAGTTACATATAAAAATGGTGTTAAAAAGAGTTTTCAATGATCAAGCGACACTTTGCATATAGATTTCTATAAAAAGAATGTTAACTCAGAATTTTCAGACTTCAAGGCCTGTGTTAGATTAAAAGCTGTACAGATAAAGTTTCAAAGTAGCACTAAAAAAACAGTGATTTGGAACCTTAGTTCCTAGTATTATTGTTGAAAACGCATACATTACCACAAATACAAATATTGCCCTACAATACCATATCCTCCCATCTGATGTTGCAATCTTGTTTTGCATAAATGGAAGTCTTGGGGCTACAAACCTTTCATTTATACAACCCAATGGAAGTCAATGCGTTGGATACGGAGGATACATCAAGCTGTTACTGCTTGACAGACTAGGTACTTGATCTCTATCTAGTGTTGCTGTACATGTTACAGACGCCTTAAACTGAGCAATATCCATGTCTGGAAACTCTGGACCTATCGTGTTTTTCACCTCTTCCAACAGTAGAGTTATTGCATTTGGCCGCTGCTGTGCTTTTTACACTTCACTGCTGTGGATATCTCTTCAACAGTTAAATATATACTGTTCAACCGTCTTCGAGGCCCACCGTTGGACTCCACTTCTTTTGTGACCGTTCTTTTGTCCACTGTTGTTGGGTTGTGACTATAGCCTGCTTAACTCTGCTCACCCATCATCCTTACCACCTCCTCTTCTGGTTGCCCGGTAATTAGTAGCGAGTTGGGCACCAGTAAGCTTATTGGAATTCGTTTACAATCTTGGTGGAGAAGGGGGGGGGGACTGATAAGGAGATGCTGGTGGTGATGTGCTAGTTCAAGTTGAGAGAGATGAGAATCAGCCCCAGGAGCGTTTAGCAGGGTCTCGCTCAGACGGGGAAGGAGAACTCATTCTACTACATAAGCAACACTTGTTCACAGAGACACTTTACTGCGCTGTTAATCACCGGTACACAGTCATCTAGATTATACGTATTCCTCATGTAGGGCTCACACTGATGCCTGTAGAATTACTTAAACAGCTTGCTTAAGTTTCCAAATGGATTTCTGCTACCTTAAATTCTACTCCAGGCTGAATCAGTAGTCAGCTGGTGTTTACACTCGCTATTACTATAACGACTTACACAATTTCACTTTACAGAATTTGCAGTCAAATTTATGGTGATACAGATTTTGCATCTGAACAACTGGTGAGCTGGAATACAACTAACTTAACAGAATGACTTCTCAAAACTATAAGTTTCATATCGGCCCACAAGTCACCTCCTTAAATTTTGAGGATTGGTCAAATTTGAACAAGAAGCGTTTACTTCATTTGCTATTCCTCCAATCAGTTCCAAAATTCAAGGGAATTTGGACTCTAATGACTTAACATAACTTTTGAGAGTGGTTTGATGAATACTCCGCTTGGCGCAGGTTCTGCGCCTTCCCACTTTTGACATATGGTGTCCTGGGACTGTCAGAGATTGTATTCCCAAAGAATTCCGAGCAAAATTTGAGTAGAATTTCTAGGAAACAAACTGGCATGGGTCCTTCCTGTTTCTCTTTGAGGCTATGTAATGAGCCGCTTTCTCAAATTCAAGATTTGGACTAAGTTGTCATCTTGAGAGTAAGAATTGGTCCATGTCCCTCTTGGATAATTACTGTTCGTGCAAGTAAATATCATCTAACAAGGTGATTAACACTAGTAAATACATGCTTTTAATTTAAAACTTGGATGTGGTTGACAGTATGGATACAACTGTGTGCACTGAAACCCTAATAACCCTGTTCTATAGTTGCCTGCTACCTACGAGATGTTTACCAAGCCATTGCCTAGACATGTTGCAGTATTTCACTTGAAAGATGTCCAGATCCATCTCTTACAGTTTAGCCGTGGCAGGTGGTTGAATGTCTAATCTTGCAATCTTTCAGCCAACCATGTAGAAATCACGTCTTCCAACAGTGGAGTAAAAGCATTCATCCATTGCTGTGCATTTTATGGCTCACTGCCATGGATATCTCTTCCAACAGTTAAATTTATACCGCATGTACTGAAACCCTAACAACCGAGTTCTAGTTCTCCCAACTGTAGGGTTATTTTATTCGTCCGTTACATAGGAGATGTATTTATTGAGCCATTGCCTGGACATATTACAGTATTTCAGTATTTCACAAGTGTTATGCTTGCACCCTTGCATAATAACGTTTTCAACTTTAAAAGAGAACACTTCACAGTTAACACATGGAATTGTAGATTCTTAGGAAGGATTTCATGAAACATAAAATGGAAGCCCCCAAAAAAAGGAAATAATAAATGGAGAGCTTAGAGATAATCATTTCAGAAGATAAATTAATAAATGACAGAATAAGATGGTATTGGCATGTTTTAAGAACAAAGAATGAATCACAAAGAAATTTCTGAACATGAAAATAAAACATAAATATCAAAGAGAAGAAACAAGATCAAAATGGGAACGATACGTCAGAAAAGCTGTCATGCTCAAAGAATAACATGGCAGAAAAGTGACGATGATGAGGAGGAGGTGGTGTAAGGGTGGACATTTTGGGAACACTGAGAGAGCTGGAAAGCTTGGCTACAAGACGACCCACACAAACATGAAAATGTTGATGGAAGAAAATTTTATGTGAGATATGAGGTGTTCACGGCAGTAGCTATGAAGATAAATGTCTGCTGGGAAGTGACAACACAGTGCAGTCGGGTAGAATGGTACCAATATTTTGAAGGATCGCATACCCTCAATCTCCTAACCTGAAGACCAAAGCAGGAGGTGCCTCCAATAGGTCAATAATGATTTAAAAGTTTACAAGGAATTACATCCCAGATGACAGGAACCCTCAACAAGACTGTACACAATTTACTATTTATTTCCATAGATCACTCAATAATGCTTCCGATATCATAACTATAAATTGCCGGCTGGCGAGTTGACTGACGAACTGGAAAGGTTTTGGCATAATAAAGCCAATATCCCAATATTTTCCTAGAGGGGAAAGAAAACATCAGTCCAGCTAGTGTCCTGGCCAAGATTCGAACCCAGCACCTCCACAATATAAATCTAACATGTTATCTCTAGACCAAGCCATTCAGTGGTTTTAAATAAAGGCATGTACATTAATAGAATTTTATCATCTGAGAGCTTACCGAAAATCACTGAGCCGCATACTCCTCACATCAGATCACACCAGAGAGAGAGGATAATCAGCAGACCAAGAGCCAATACACATTACTAATAAAACTTAATAAATAAATTTATAAAACTTAATACTTAATAAAACAGCACATGACAGAACTCCTCTGTTTCACACGCATTCCTGGCACTTCTTTACAAAGTCTGCATTTACTTAACATTCTGACTTGGTTCTAATTTTGACCCGAAACAATGGTGTCCGTCTTAATTCATTTTTAACTGTATGAATGATTTCTTCTGTTTGGAATTATAACTTCCTGAGTTTTCAACTTATTTCTTTTACATAACCACTTTTTACACAGGTATTGCATATGAACAGCCATCGCTCCTGTAAGCATCTCACATTTAAGAACAAGAAATACTGTGTTTTCTCAAATATCGTGTACATTTTTCTTCTAAAAAAATGATAAAATGTGAACAACCGTGAAGAAGTTGACAATACCACTTGTTCAAAGTACAATTTTAACGTTTTTAACTTCCTCTTCCTAACATGTACCTGCACACAACCATAGTCTGTATTGCAACAGCAGACTTTAATCTATGATGTTGTGTGCATGTGTTCTGCTACACATGAACACTGAAGGCACGTATTTATGATCCTTCAAAGTATTGAAACACTGAAACTAATTTAATAGCCAGACTAAATTGGAAATCACATTGCTGGTAGGAGATGCATTACTTTACGAAACTAAATACGAACTTTGCAAATAAGTTAAGAATAGGCAGAAATCTTACCTGATGAAAATTTTATAACTGGCTTAGGTATTGTGATGGTCTGCGTTCTTGCCACGGTTGCCAATGTTCCCTGTCGCTTTACAAGAGATAATGACTGTGGTTGCTTGTTGTGTAGCTTCACCCCTGCTGCACTAAGAGCTCCATGTGTCAGATGTGATGTAACAGCATTATTCATATAGCCTGCATTGCCCCCTGACATCATATGATGGTGTACTTGCTTTGTCTGCGGCTATGAAGAGTACAAATTTATATAGCAAATACAGTTTTTACGACATCTGTAAATAAGATCTAAAAGTTCACGATGACAGTGTATTAACACAACAATCGACTTTTTGGACATCATCCTATTTGTAGATTTGCTTCTACCTTTGTCCACAGGTAAAAGCCTATTCAGTTGTGCCCAACACTTACAACTAGGCTTTATGTCCAGACACCAGAATCAACATAAAGCAGGATACATAAAACTGACACAATATAAACCATAAGACAAGAAATTAAAACACACCATGCATGAGACTCACACTATGGCCATGCATAATGTAATGGACAAAGTCCATAAAACCACAAGCCAAATAAAATAAAAGCCGCAACCAGAGTCAAACTACAAAACGGGACAATCATAGACACCATGAATTCAACCTTTAAAATCACAGATAAGACAAAGATAAGTATAAATACATACTCACAAAGGGAGCAAATTAAAATTCAAGCTCATAAAATTTCCTAAATACCACAGATGATCCAACAGAAAATAAACCAATACCGTATTACATAAATGAGACACCTGTACAGTAGAAGGTAAAGGTATCACTGTAACAGGCCACAGAGGACCATAGGGTTGTGAGACACCAAGGCTCCCACATTTTATAAACAATCGGCTCACAGATGGTGGTGAGGTTGTCAGCCTTACATTACGGCCCCCACCCTTTTACTCCCGGGAAGACTCCTGATACTCGTATCTGTTAGATGCCAAGACAACCCCAGGGCCATAGTGCGGCTGGAAGGGCTAGGTAATCTAAACAATTCAATGACCTCATCAGCATTGAACCTGTGACTTTCCAACTTGTAGCATAGTGCCTCAGCCCACTATGCTACTGTGTGCCCCCCACCTGTACAGCACCAGCATTAAATGCAACATTTACATATAATCAGACCTGGATGGAATTGTAAGAGGAAGTTAGATTACACCTCATTTATAATGCAGCAAGATAAACTTTCTATTCATAATGTTTTTTTTTTCCAATTATTTTAAAAGAGTTTCAGTAACTCATCTCATATAATGTCAAATGTTAGGATCACTGGAAAATAGTGAACTAGAAGGGATGTGGAAAACTGCGGCCATATAATAATTTCAGATACCATCCTGACATTTGCCTGGAGGGACTGCAGAAAACCGTGGAAAACCTTTACAGATAATTTCTGTGCTGATTTATGAATCCAGGCATTCTGCTAATGTGACTACTACATTCAGTAAGGGCACTACACAATTTTCTTAAATAACATTAACAGCAGGAGCTGAATGGAAGTACACTACATTAAAGATAAATTACAGGATCATACCACCATACCTTCTTATTATTTTTCAATCTGTAATTGCAAGATGACAGACAGTAACGGTCTGGAGGTAACCGAAGTCCACAATGTGGTTTGATAAGTGGAAGTGGGCTGTTGTTCTTAGTTCTGGCAACCTCTAGTAGAATCTATTCAACACAAGAGCACAAAAAAAAAGAGTTAATTTACAAATGACAAACACAGCACTGTATAACAGATATATGTAATTAGGTACTTACATCACGGGGTGGTGGAGTTGTAAATGCACGATCTACAGTCATCTGAACTGCCAATTTTACATCTTCTAAGTCTATCACTTTCTTCTTAGCATGATTTGCAAACACTCTAGCATCATCCAGTATACATGTTATATAACCTGTGGCGAAGCACAACAGTTTTAATAATTAATACACAAAGCTGGATCATTTTTAGCCTCAGATACATGGCCTGAGCTACTGGCAGCTTCATTATGTGCAGCTACATAAATAGGCCTACGATAGTTGGTTTAATATTATAACGTCAAGCACACGCGTGTGGTGATGACAGCCAGTATCACTGTATATGATCACTTCTTAGACAGAGTAGAATTTATTCATATTCCATACATCCCACATAGCATTTCGCCAAGAATCTAGAATATTTCATAATATTGTGACACACAGACCCACTGCCAAGTAAGAGCTGTGTAAACAGGCAACTGTACAACTGCCATTGCTAGGGAACAGCTCTATGGACACGTTTCACTGCCAACAAGAGAAAATACAATGATAGAAGAGACGTTTCCTGTATGGATGCCAGGCCTATACGATGGGCAGGAGCAGGAGCCACAACCAACAAACCAAACAAAACCATAAGTAACATCATATATACAATAACTGAATATACAGTGGAACCTCGCTTAACGAGCATAATTCGGTCCAGAATCTTACTCATAATGTGAAACACTTGTTAAGCGAAATAGTTTTTCCCATATAAATTAATGTGAAATACGATAATGCGTTCCGTGCCAAAAAAAAATACTCAAAAAAGTTTATGTATAACATTTATTCAAAGAAAATTATATATACATTGTTGTACCTGTTGCGGCAGGTAACCCTCAGAATCTATGAGCTTCTTGAAGTCGCCGATGAAGTTCTCTGCTGCCTTTGTGTCGGAGCTTGCTGCTTCACCGTGCCTTACAACACTGTGGATGCCGGTTCTTCTCTTAAACTTCTTGAACCACCCTTCCCTTAAATGCTCCTTCTTCGGCCGTTGATGATCCTCGCATCTTCTTTACAAGGTCTGCAAAAATCACTTTTGCCTTCTCACAAATGATGTTCTCGTTAATAGTGTCACCTTGCAATTGCTTTTTGTTTATCCATATGAGGAGCAACCTTTCAACATCGTCGAGAATATGTAACCGTTGCATAGATATTCTTGTCACTCCCTTTGAAGCATCTGTCTCCTTAATCTTGTCCTTGTTCTTGAGGATAGTGCAAATCGTTGATGTAGACCGATTGTATGTGCGTGCTAGATCAACCACGCTCACACCTCGTTCTCACTTTTCAATGATTTTATGTTTCATTTCCGACACTAAGATGCTAGCAGAATGAGTGCTAAACACAGACTGATGTAGCAAGCGCACAATCCGGGACTTACCCTCTCATCACTCGTTAAGTAAGTCATTCTTTTACCATTTGTTTTGCTCGTTATGCGAATCACTCGTTATGAGAGGTGCTCGTTAAGCAATGTTCCACTGTATATAGATATATATATTTGTTACTGCTGCAAGGAAGAAACCCATGTTTTTTAATTGAGCAGATCAGCAACAAGGACAAGGTTCCTCTAAATGCCTATGTACCATTGAAGAGGACTGTGAAAACTATAGGTGCTAAACTGATCACAATTAAAACGTCTGGACATAATAAATCACATTACACTGCCATTATGTGTTGTGCAGAAGGCATCAAATTGCCTGTTGTTAATATTCAACCAAAGAAAGATGTCTAAAATAACATTCTTCTAGAACAAACTCTTATGCACTTTCACCTAATGGACGGACGGATGAAAATGGAATGAATCCGAGGCTGCAAAAATTCAGCCATTTTAGTGAGTGACCAGTTTAGGCCACATGTAACATTTAACCAGTAAGAACTTCATATTGCACTGCTGTTTTGTCCAGTAAGCATTTGTGAATCTGAGTTTCAAAAGTATGAAATAAACAGTCCCCCCCCCCCAAATATCGCATTCTATAACCTACCTGTCTCTTACGGTCCGGAAAATAGGGTAAGTTATTATCACTTTGCAGGCCAAGGAATTTTGTTCCTACGTCTTCAATTGTTATTATCATAACCCATTTTCGGTTAATATATGTTTCGTTATTAGTATTAATTTGATGACGTTTGTAAGATTTGTGGTTCTCACAGCGGTGGTTATCTTCAGGGTCGTGTCCAAGCAAGTTTCTTGCTCGGCTTATTCTTCGACCCTTAAGACGGAGGCAATGTCCCTCCTAAACGTCGGTTGCCTTTCAACGGACTACACGGAGTTGTATGCCAGATGATAATATTCTTTATGAAGTTCTTTTTGTCAAAATATAATGTAAGAACGTTGGCTTTAAACAATTTCTTCGGTCTAGGAAATACACATACCAACCATTCATACTTACGATATGTAAATTCCAAAAGTTGATTTATGACACGTGGTTCATATTCCTCAATACCCATATCTTTCATAATAGACATAATTACTTGAGCATCTTTCGGTATATGCTTCACCTGCATCGCCATTTTGAAGTTTCCGTAACTGGACATAAACAGCGCCAAAGGTGAGAGAAATACACAGTGAATACGACCGAACCACGGATCTTACTACAACAATTACAGTTGGTGTTACTAATTGCATTTGAGCTCCGAGCTAATGTGCAGTGGTATAGACAATCGAAATCCGATCGAGACATTCGATTACATTGATTCAAAGTTAGTCGAAATCGGTGGAAATGAGTGTAGGATGTGGAAGCGTGGAATATGTCATGTAAATACAAACATACGAACAGTCCCAATGGAGTTCTCACACAAGAGAAATTAAGAATACACAGTGACTAGGCTATTTATAGATAAACAAGTTATTTTGTAGATAATACGTATTCATCAACAGAATAGAATGAATGTGTATATAAGTATCGTTTCAGTGCTATATTCCAGTGGTTACCAACCTGGGGTCCGCAGGATAGTTTATTTTCATTAAATTTTATCTTATCATGTGCCTTGCACCTGGGATATTTGCAATGTATATCTCTGGCTCTTGAGGCCCATGGTTGAAGTAAAATTTAACGGGACTGTTGGTACCGTTACTTCTCCCCTTTGTAATGCAGAGGTGAATAACGATTTGTGTAGCTTTTTCCAAGGACATTTTCTTTTGGTCAGCCCATTGCATCTCATTGCATCTGGGACCCATGTTTCAGGGTGGATTGTTTTCCTCCTTACCTGCCTCTGACCATTCTCCCCCTCCACCCCCCCAAATCCATCCCCTTAGATTGGGAAGAAAGCTGGGACCATTGACCACATTTCTTATTCATTTCAGTGGCAGAGTTAACAACCTGTGTGTCTTTCTCAGTTTAATATTCTTTAGCAAATATGGACAAACCAGCAGTTTGCAGCATGATGAGTTGATGCCATCAACATGAGTCTACAGAGACAGTTAGGGGTGGTGTTTGGAACATGGCACCCTCCCTTCTCCCAGAAGCCCTATAGGCAGGACTGTCATAAATTAGCGTCAACAACAGGTGACTGTCCAAGCAACTATTATAGTTGCAGTCCAACTTGTGACCACAAAGTAACTGTTATAATTGGCAAGCCCCAACAAGCTGTCAAAGCAGCTGTTATAATACTGATCCTTGTGAAGACCTTTGTGTGAAAGAGAAAAAAAATTTTTACAGATCTCAATTAAATTTAATTATTCAAGGTGAAAATTATATTTTTCAAACATACAACATACAATATTCATGGACAAGAAATATTTGTCAAAATGTGTACAGCTGAATGAAATAAACATTATATGTTATATATATTTCTAGTTTTTCCTGTTTTCCAGAAAATGATAACAGGGATAATGGGGTCAGTAAAGCGACTGGTTTGACGCTAGGTGGACAGCATCTGATTTCAGGCAGGGGATGGGGCATTTCCTTACTGTCACACTTAGACTAATTCTAAGGAGCACAGAGCCTCCAAATTATTTATTTGATAGTTTATTTTAACCTTTAAGTGCCGAAGTGCCCAGTTTGTGCCAGTCATGAGTAAGGTCGTCGTGGCCAAAGTACCCAGTTGTGGCCAGTCAGGCATTTAAACTCCGCTAGTGGAAGCGCGCGCACACGCCGCTAGTAGAAGCGCATGCACAGTCCTGAATATTTATTTTTAAATGTAGTAATTACCAGACCGACTTAAGTAAAACCCTAATAGAGGAATTAAAATAATACCTTACTGAACAACAGCAAATAAAAATATACGTATGAGTTATGCCAAAACTTATCCACAATCCAGTAATTTTGTTGCAGATTCTGCAGATAGGTATGTTAAAAATATAGTGTAAAATTCGATGTACATACCTTTTTTGTTGTTACCTTCTTGATGTATATATAGGTTCAAATGAAACTACAGTATTCGATTTCACTACGAACGCACACAAAAGAGATCACGCTCTGTATCTCAGCCACGATGCAGCTGTCTGTTCATTCAAATAGAAGGGGCAATAAGCTTTTGCAGCCCTAACGGAACATCTTAGCACTGAAGAGGGGACCCCTATAGCTTTCTCTTGAATAGCCATTCTTTCATTCTTCTGACCTTCAGTCAAGTATTCGAAAATCCGAAGGGTGTAAGCAGCGCTAGCAGAAGACCAAATGATTTTATTGCTTCCATCTGTTTTATGACACCAGAGACTGCTAAAATTTGTCAAGTGTTACAAACAGAAATGAAGTTATAATGCAGAACAACTCTGTGAAGAACTGGGAAACCATTTTTGCAGTACGCATCAAAATTAAAACACAAAAAATTGAAAATAGAGTACAACACTTTGTATTAAAAATTTCAAATCTTCCTTTATAATATGCGACACTATGTTCTTTTCTGAAATAAACAAAGTTATTTCCATCCATTTATCATAAAAATTGAGCTAGATAGAGCATTTTTAAACACAACGCTTAAAATTGATTAAGCGCCTAACAGGAACGGACATTTAAACGCAGCGTAGCAACGGGCATTTAAACGCGCACCAGCAGCGGACATTTAAATAAACTCCGGCCAGCTCAAGCTTACCACTATTTCGAAGTCCGGCGTTTAAAGGTTAATGATGCTGTCACTAGCTCAGATTATAAAGCTTCAAATGATCAGAGAATAGTTCCCATAAACCCTTTCCATTATTTCTTCATAAATAAGTTATTTAACAATGCTGTCAGTATCAACACTATACATCACTGATGATATAATGACTAATGAATATGGAGCAGTTGATGAAATGAGAATTGGCATGGGAAACCAAAGTACCCAGAGAAAACCCGCCCCACTGCCACTTTGTACACCACAAATCTCACATGACCTGACCTGGAATCCAACCTGGGCAACCCCAGTGAGAAGCTAGTAACTAACCACCTAAGCTATGGCACGGCCCTTAAAAGCTTTATGGTATGGTATTTAGAGAAGGGAAAAATTAATCTCTACATTCTAAGAATATTGCCACCACAACTTAACACTGAATCATTTCCATAGGATCTTCCCAGTATTCACAATATGTGTATACTTCCTGTGGCATGGTGAATATGAAGAAGTTTGAGGTCTGAAGCCATATTCAAGAATTCCACACAAGCAATCTTATCATAAAAGAGGGTGCGAAGTATTTAAGTATAACAAGTTTCTTCTGCCTTGCTCATAATGTATCTTTATTTACGCTTGTCAATCGAACATGCTAACAGAAGTTTATAATAGATTAAATGTTGAACAGAAGGTTTAAGATCAAATGCTGGATAGAAGGTTTAACAACTACGAACTAACACTGACACGTACAAATAAATATCGGTACAATGCCGAAACTCATGTATATATAATTCTTTACATAAAGCAGCAATTCACATTGACATCAACATTTAATTTGCAGTTATAAGTACTACATGTGCATGTCCAGCTGGAAGTGACTGAATTAGTCCTCAGTGTATTCAAACGGCTCGGGTGGTTCCGGCTCCTTATCTTCATCTGGCTTTGGTCCAAATGCTGCAAAAACAAAAATCATGTATGAGAAATAGAAGTCAATTAAAGAGATTTCCCAGTGCATTGTTTATTTCTGTCGTCATGACATTACAGACATTTGCAATGTTAACACGGTTTGGTGACCATTTATCGTTTCTGTAGTTTGGAAGTCCAGTTGTAACATTACCAGTCTACAATTTCTTCGTTACTCTCTTATGGTCCCTCTTATTTGCTTCAGTTTTTTCTGGTGTCTCAACAAAATCATCTTTAAAATGATTATTATTCAAATCTGTACATAAATACAAGAAAAATAAAGAAGGTATGTGAACATGTATCAGAAGCCCAAATTAATGACATGAGTAAAAAATAACAGGGACTAAGTAATGTGAAATTTGTGTAAATTCAATTACATGAGAACAATAACGACAAATGAATGTGAGGTAAAAAAAGGTAAAGCTATCCCCGTAACAGGCTGTGAGACATCAAGACTCCCACACTTTCTAGACAATTGGCTCACAGTTGACAGTGAGTGTGTCAGCCTTATGCACTGGTAGCCCTTTGCCCCCAGGAAGATTCATGACACTCATTTCCGTTACAGGATGAGTCGACCCCAGAGCCATAGTGCAGCTGGAAGGATTAGGTCAGTTAAAAAAAATCCAATGACCTCATCAGGAATCAAACCCGTGACCTTCTGGCTTGTAGCACTGTGCCTCAGCCAACTATGCTACCACATGCTCCTTAAATAAAAGTAAGATTTATAATAAAAGCAAACAGAAATATCAATTTTGTTCGAAGAGGTTCTCACAGTGGTGTCTGTGAGCAGTACAATCTTCTGGCAAGTGTTGTGTTGTCTGATAGAATAACAATTTCTGTATTACAACACACCAACTTCACCACTGTGTAACCAGCTTAGTGTCAGAGCAAAGATGAAGCCACCAAACTTAAAGCCTGACTATGCGATGAGTGTAGAGCAATTGTAGAATCATGAGTGACAAGGGAAAAATGAAGAAACATCTTAAAAATTTGCTCCAGTGGAAATTTTGTCCAGCACAGTTCTCAAATGGAGTTAACTGGGGTTGAACCTGTGGTAACAAGCCCGTGTCTATGATATCCCCACCCTTCACCCACTACTATGATTAAAAGATATTATTTTTGCTGTACAAACCGGCTACAGGCTCTACTAGCTCCTCAGCAGCCCCTGGTTTAACGTGACGAACCATAATGATTCCTCCAATGGTCAGATCCTTGAGAGGAGCATAGCTACTGCCATCAACCTGCTGTAGAACCTTCAACTGAAAACAAAATACAAACCATTAACTGTTAAAAATAAACATTTTAAAACTTTTGCAGTTTATTAAAACCATTGTTTTTACTTGGTTGAGCACCATACTTTTGAATGCTTTCCATCTTTGATCTTCCTTTACTACCAGAGACCACATTTCACACCCACAAAAATAAACATAACATTACACACAACACACCCCACCCCCCTCCCCCACTGTAATAATCTGCAACATTCATTCATTTTGGAGATAATGGAGAGTTAAACTGTAATCTGACTAATGTCCCCTATTTATGTCTGATCATTTAAACAAAAGTCAGTGACCACTGCATTTAAGTTCCCTATTTTAATGTAAACCTCTCCCCACAGTGCATGGAGAATATATCCACATGACTGAAATTCTATTTATTTCAGTGCAACAGTTAACAGAACAGTGATAAAAGAAAGCAAAAGTCAATCTCTCTCTCTGTCACACATACAGGTGTGCGTGCACATGTATATGCAGGGTTCCCCATATCATACATACCTGTGGCTTCATGATGCGAGCTGGGTTGCTCAAGATCTCAAAGTTTGGTTCTGGCTCTTTCTTAGCATCTTCTTCCTTGGTGCCTGCTGTTGCTTTCTTCTCAACTGATCCAGCTCTCTTCTCATCTTTATCCTTCTCCTTTTTTTCTTCCTTTTCTTTCTTTTCATCCTTCTTTTCCTTTCCTTCATCCTTCTCTTCATCCTGCATTAATGATGACAAACATTTACTTTGAAGTCAATCAAGAAAACAGTGTATTACACATATCAATGTTACAACTACTTCTTACATAATTTGCAGTTATAATCAAAATGGCAGTGATAGAACAGTAAAAGAGATGCTGGAATAATGGAGATTAACGGGAAAACTGCACTTCCATTAACTTAAATTAAAAGGGAAGAATTAAACATTTTATATGAGTTTTTATATGTTGTATCCTGTTTGAATAAACTAACAGAGTCTCTAGATATGCACCTGTCACACTAAACAAATGCTAATAATAGTTATACATCATTCGCCCTCTTGATCTACTACATATTTCAAGAGGGAGAGTCAATACACAAATATCAAGGTTTAGAACTATCTTGCAACAGGCTAATTGTTATTGCAAGAAAACTGTAAACCCTGTAACTTACATGTTAACTCTTCAAATGATGGCATTTCATTAGGACTGACTAAAACATTTAGTAGAAAAGAAGCACAAAAGTGTAGGTACAGCTGGCCATTTACCACAGAATGAGATACACTGTGATTACACATATTCTAAGCCAAACAAATTTCTATGAAATATTTTAGTTACAGTATAAGCCTGTATTACAGTGCTCCTTGCTGAACTGTGCGGGTACAGAGGATAAGTCCATAGGCTGCTGTGAATAAACTGAATGTTTCTGGTTTCCCTAACATTGGAATGTAACTGGTCATTACCTTTTGACACACACACATATATATGGATGTTTATGTACTCTATTAATTAATAAATCAATAATGATTTTAGTTAAACTAGCAAATAGTATCATTTTCCTTTTGTATTCAAGGGATACATATCTTCAGTTTTAACCTCACAGTTCTATGAATTCTAGTCATGTAAGATAAAACACGAAACTATGCCAACAGTTTACCAAACCCACACATATCGAAGGTTCCAGACCATTTTATAATTAGTCAGAATTCTAGAAGTATTTGAATTAAATACTGATACTTGATTGGATATGACCATTAGCTTTGTCAACCCCTTGGTTCTGAAAGCCAGCCAAAAATTAACTTATGAAGGGGTTTACATCAATTTGAACCCAACACTAGTTCACTTAACATGATGCTTTGCAAGAGAGTCTCCAACCAGCCTTCATGAAGATAAAATGAAAAATCCACGTAACAACCTTGAAGATGGAGACAGCTTAGTAACTTTCAGCAAAACCACACAACACCAGATCCCAGCAGGCAGTAATCCTCCTAGTCACCCACCATGAAAACCTCAAATTTCACAACTGGGAATTTCTTACCACATCCATCTTATCAGAGTCACGCTGCGACCGTCCGGCCTCTATGCGCCCAGCTTCTCGACGACGAGCCCTGGCTGCAATACTCAAAACAGCTGTTGTTACTTTCTCTCTTTCCTCTCGTTTCTTTTCCTCAAGCGGGGGAGGATATGCAAACATTGAGGGGCGAGCATTTGAACGGAACTCGATTTTCGGCATCTGTAAATCAGCATTAGACTTTCATATGAATCAATATCAACTGTGTTTCATTTCTTTAGCTATCATAATCATATCATTTTAAAATTTAAATTTATACATAACATTTACATTATAAGTAATAATAACTTTTATTAGATTAAACTTTCAACTTACAACAAAGTTCAGAAAATGCATGAAAGTTGCATAGCACAAATGAGACATACACATATTTCACATTATATCTCCAGCAACATTCAATCCTGACATTACTCCTGTTTTGGTGGGATGACCCACACAGAAGTGGGTAGCACTGTTCACATTTCAGAGATATTATTGACTCCATCTTCAAGGCAAAGTGACTACCTAATGGTCCTTCCAATACTTATATATGTGAAGTTTTTTTATTATGAAATCTGGTGTGGAAAATATATATTATCAGATAGGCAGTATTGTGATATGTAGGTCACACTGTTTCATTGTAACTTGCAAGAAAAGCTGTTAATATCTCGCTGTAATTGGTTAAGTTATGCAATAAAAATAATATTAATTAGAAGTTAGAAAATTAAATGGTAGATATGTTGAATATTTTTAATGTTTCAGAAAGTTTTGGAAAATTATAGAGTAAAGTTTCAGTCAAAGCAATTAATGGATTCAACTCAAAGATATTTCATATTATTATAGATGAAAATTAGTTTTTGCATTGTGTTTTCTATCCAAAATTCAAAAGAAATCTCAATGGAAGTTTCATTTTATTTTGTTAATCCAATGAACAATAAAAATTATCTTTTAGCACAGTCATGGGCTTACAAAGATACCTATAGAAATTGAACAAAGTGTACTGTCTGTTCAGAGAATGCAACTTTCATTTTCTAAATCTGTTTAGGGTCGTCTGCATTAGAAGATGCATTAAGGCATCATATGTACAACAGAACTGCTTTCAGTATGACTGATGTGTTACCAGGAAATGCCTTGGTGATCAAAATCACACACATCTCATACAGGTTTGTGTCTATGCGTTACTTTTGTGATAAATTTAGTAGGCAAGGAAGTCTCTTATCCAATTCCTTCACTTAAATGCTTCTGTTCTCCATTCTTTCATTTATCTGCATGACTGTTTCAATTAGTTTGAAAAACATATCTCCCACAAGACAACCCTAAACCAATTTTATCACAGGCATGATATACTGATGCTTGCAACATCAGTCCTGTTGCTAGGCAACCAGACAGCCACATCATTGAGCTGTGAAGGGAGCTTCATATCCATGTATCTAGAATCCTGGTAGGGGACTTGATGTATTTCATAATAATGAGGAAACAGTATCATTGTACCACCAAAAATCTTACGTTTTGTTAATTCCTTCCGAATACATTTCTGATCCCCACTGCAATTTATAAAAATATTTTTTTTTTTTTTATTTACATAGATTTAGCAATCAGAATTACATTTAATTCTATAAGCTAATTTGCTCTATTTGTCGTGACGTGGAGAGGGCTTATCCAGAGATAAGTCCTCGTTAACCCTCTCTGAGGTCGGCTGGCCAGTTCCTTTTCAGTCTTCGTCCGTTGTGGGGTTCCAGTAGCGGTTGAATTAGTACATTCTCGTGTCCTTCTATTTTGTTGAAGTATCTTGTGCTTTTAGTTTTTATGACTTCCTTTACTAGCGGCACTTTCAGATCTTCATGGAGTGTTGTATTGGAAACATACCACGGGGCGTTAGTGATCATGCGTAGTATCTTTGACTGACATCTTTGGATTATGGAGATATTGGTTTTGCTAGCGCATCCCCATATTTCCACTCCATATAGCCAAATTGGTTTTATTATTGTTTTATAAAGTAAAAGTTTGTTGTCTAAAGAGAGCTTGGAGTTCCTTCCAATTAGCCAGTGCATATCCTTAATTTTTAAATCAATCTGTTTGCGTTTTTTAGAAATGTGTTCCTTCCAGGTTAGATGGTTGTCTAGATGAATACCTAAATTTATAAAAATATATGCACGTATCCTATATGCTGTGAAGACTTCATCTTAGAAATCAGTCCACAGTTTGGCTTTGTTATTTAATCCACTTGGAGAACTGCTTCCATGATGCATTAATAACTCGTGGAAAATTATTTTAAAAAATGGACAATAACAATAAACTTAAAACAAAGAGTGAATAATCAAAACTAATGCAAAAAAATGGCAATACATAAATATACTAATTTTTTTCTCTGAGTCTAGCCAAGTACTGCATCACATGCTAAAAACCCCTTCCTGAAATAAGGTGGCTGATCGGATGTACCTCACACCTCAGGAGCTGTGATGGAGGTAAAATAAAAACCATACAGTATATTACTAAAAGACATATATTGAAATACAATCCAACAGTACTATATTTTACTGTAGACTCTCAACTCAATCATCTTTATTAAATGTCATCATTGTCATCATTGTCATCATCATCATCATCATCATCATAATCATCATCACCACCATTTTTTTTTCTTTAAACAAGGTTTTAACAGAACAAACATACAGAGAATACCACTTACTCCCCCATGTTTGTCTGTGCAGATGTAACCTTTTTCATGCTTTATTTATTGATGTTTTCAGTACCATGACTTTAAACAACTGATGGTAGGATGACTGCTAACTGAAAAGGATTTTGAAGGACGTGGTTGTGACTCAAATGAGGTAATATCCTGGTATTTGCTTGTCATGACTGATGAAATCCACAAAAGAACTTCAGTCAGGCTAGCCAGAGTGACCTGGCTGAGATTCAAATGAAACACCAGCTCAACAGAAGCCTAAGTGTTACCTTCATGCCAACCTGCTTGGTGTAGTGCTGTAACAGTTCTGTTTTGTTTGTAAAGATTCTGTATTATGAACGCATATTATATTTTTTATATACATGTATATTCATGAGGTCCAAGTAAGTAGTTAATCGTCATTAACTTAAACCCAAGAATGTGAATATGGCATAAAATATTCATTTCAAAGTTTGTAATATCATCTGAGACATTTTTCAATACATACAACAAGCACACATATCCCTTCTGCTCCCTGGATTTGCTTTCCTTGTAAATATTAAAATGCAGCTAAAGACTTAAAGCAGGATGAACACTTAAATTAAGATATTAAGCTTACTCATTTAATTAAAAAAGTGGTAATTAGGGTACAAATCACAACCTAAAACTCTACTGCAATACTTGCATACTATATTAACAAGTATGGCACCCACATATATTGGCAAACATATGGAGAGTTCTCTGTTAGGTCAGCACTAGGGAACAGGAGAGAGAGAAATTGAAAGAAACATTCCATCTTTATATAAATTATACTTGTATTGTGATTTATCTAAAAATTTATTTAGAGGCCCCTCAACATTAAATTCCATTACAATTGTTTCATCCACAATGGAGCTGTTATGTGCTTACAAATGGAAAACAGAGAACACAATGGAAACTCTTGTACTGTTGCTAAAAGCACCTACAAAAATTCTTGGTTATGGCTTAATTTTGCTTAACAGCTCTTCATGTCTGTTATTAATCTTCTGCCTCCTGTGCTCCATGTATGTCCTCCTTTAAATACAATAGTTAATTATGGGGCATGGCTTACCTTGAGCTGTGCGTTAAGGGCAATCAGGCAGGTTGGTGTGAAAGCCAGAGCGAGGCAGTGTGCCAGAGGGAACCAGTACCAGTACTGGGTGAACACCAAAACTCCCACCACTGCAAGCATGTTTGTGTGGCCTGTACGTGACTGCAGAGACACTGTTACATTACGACCACCTGCAAAACACACTCCTATTACATGTACAGGAACATTTACTTGGTGACATTTAGAGATCAAAATGATTCTTTCTTCTTCTTCTGCTTCTTCCATGAGTTGGGTAATGACACAGATAGTACTGTGATGTATAGATTCATTACTAAGCAACAACTTGGTAAACACATTCCCGTGGGAGCCAATGTGTGCAACAGCAGGACATCCATTGCTAGGCAATGGATCAGTAAACACACCTCCTTAACAACAGAGGCTGTGTTTTCTGTGTGGTCCATGCAAAGTGGTTATAAAGTAGTGTATGGCAGCATAAAGTGAAGTGAAGAGCTGAGTTTTGGGATGGCAGCCTACCGGGATATAAGCTTGGGAGCAGAGGAATTGAACTGAGACAAGTTTTCAGAATTGGCAGCTGCAGAATAGTTGCAAGAAAGGAGTTAGGCTGTGAAAAAAAGACCCCACGTATAATTAGAAGTGACACTGAGACTGCTATAAATAATATGCCTGGATGGGAATAGTGAAGACTGAGAACCCTAGTGTGTGTGCAGTGGTGAACTGTGAAGTATGTAGACCAGCGATAAGCAATGTATTGCCTGTAGTTCCGAGTACTCTGTATAAGGTGTCAGTAAATCCAAAACCCCATCTATAAGTCACCCTTACAAGTGACAGTATCAGCACTACACAGTGTCAGATGAGATAATTAGTGATGAATGATGAACTGGAAAAGATTTGGAAGGGTGCAGTTACGGCTTATTTGAGGCATTATCTTGGCATTTGCCTGGAGAGACTGAGGACTCCCCTGCCAAAAAAAAAAAAAAACTCAGCTAGAATAGCTGGTGTCCTGGTTGAAATTTTAATCAAGAATTTACCGAATACAAACCCATAATGTTGCCTCTAGATCAACCTGTTCAGTATTAGACTTTGTTATATTGTAACATGATCCATTAATCCGAGAAGTAACATCAGAAATGGAGGAACATGTGCAAAGGATGCCAGCAGACTGTCTACTCAGAGCAGATTTGGAATATACACCCTAGGAAATGAAGCTTCAGAATGTGGGATATAGTACCCATACCCTGTGAGGAAAGGGAAGTATTTATGGTCAAAAATTTTACATATTACACTGATCATGAAGCAACTATCAGGGTAGGCATGATGAATGTGAGGAGAGAGGGCAGGTATACAAAATATTGTTTGCCAAAAATCTTCATGAAAAGACATATGCAGAAAGAGGAAAATAATATTAAAATGAATCTTGAAGAAATAGGTTGTAGAGATGTGAACTGGATTTAACTGATTCAGGATAGATGTTCTTGTGATGAGAGTTACTAACTTTTGGGTCCAATAATTTTTCTTGATGAGCAATCAACTGCTCATGGAGACAGACAGTTGATAAATTGAAAGGCTATAAGAAAGGATGTATATGACAGAAGTAAAATGTACAAACACACATTTGGTTTTTATGATGACTGTCTGTGGTGCCAGTAGCAGTCAACCATAAGATGTGCAGCACACTGAATGTGTTGCAGCAAACAGGAACACTAATGCCAGTGTTCTGGGTGCAAAATCTGTCAAATTAGGACCAGAAAACTGTCAGTCCATGCACCAATGGGTTCCACTTGAACAGCTCTCATACAAATGCTTAGACAGAAACCACAAAATTTAAACTCTTTATTGTGAATTAATAATTAGAAAGTTTGAAATTTACTCACCTGCATCAATAATTCCCTGTGCTAGGATGGCACCAAATTTGGCCATCACATCTTCATGTTTATCTACAATCACCTTAGCATACAATGCACGGAAGTCTTTTACCTGGAAAGTAAACAATTCATACGTGAAACCTATTTCTTCTCTATGACTGAATTCACATGAATGAGATTTCTTGATTATTGGAATATAAGGAAACATACATCATGCAAAGAACAGAATACACAACCTGCAGCAATGTGTGTGTGCTGTACATAAGACCTAATAACCTACACTTTTACTGTAAAAACTTTTAGGAAATACCTTTCTATAAAACTGTATATCATATAATTGTGAACCATATTTTAAAATCTACAGTAAGTGTAATGCTAATTTCTTTCTATTGTCATGTCTCTGAGGTTTGATCTGTTCTTTTAAATTTGTTATATTGGATGGCTTGCATTTCCAGTAATTACTAAAATGTGTAAGGGTAAAGGGTAAAGTTGTCACATCTGAGGGGGGAAGTCACATGCTAAAAGAAATTCTTTCTTGAATTCTCTCCATCTGTACAGCCATCTACTCAACTGTGGCACAAATTGGATGAAGATCTCAACTCTGATCATTACAAACCACACATAAAGATGGAGATATTATGGATTATGAGACAGCAGAAAAATTAGTACATGATAAATAAATTCTTTGTTTCCTAATGTAAAACCAACTGAGAATTCAGTGAGAAGTCTCATCATTTATTATATGAGTGTCTGTACTGTTATTAACTTCCCATGCTTTCTCCTGCATTATTCTTCAACTGCATATCGTTCAATGATTACATCTATGCTGGCGTTTACTGCAATCTGCCGTTAATAACATGTACAAATAGTCAATCATAAACTGTCTCCTTCATATGGTGTATTATGCTTCACATATTCGTGCAAAAAATATTATCAATACCCACAGAACTGACACTGCTCCTCCAGTCGTGACATGCTATGCAACTCACATTCATGCAACACGTTAAAGCTCATAGTTCGTTGCTATGGTAAAATGAAACTGTGTAATGACAATGACAAATCTCATGCCTTTCAAACTTTTCTATATATGGAGAGATACTTAATTATGCTGTCAGTAGCTCAGACAGTGTCAAACGATTGGATAATTCGTGAACTGGAAATGATGCAGCAGGAATCAGTCGTGGCCTAATTTTACATAATATCCTGGAGGAGCTGAAGAAAATAAATGAAAAGTTCAGTCAAGACAGCCAGCATCAACAATAATCTGTTTGTCTTAATGTTAATGAAAAATTCTTATTCAGATGAGCCGTCTAAATAAATGTGTACTTTGTATTTTTCAGTACTGGATGTTATAACAGGATCGTGTGGCATGAAGACCCCTAATGTAAAATTAAGATTATAGGTAAAGTATGAAATGAAGATGTAGGAGGGAGTTGAGGTATAGCTCCACCTTTCTTAATCTCGGCACTAGATGGAGATGAGTAGTCAGCTGGAGGCTTTACCCCCAGAGAAAGAGCCCCGGTACACATTGGATAGGAGGATGGGTGGGCCACAGAGCAGGTCTGAAGGCTATGGAGTACAAAAAAAAATTCTCTTGCGCCTGCCGGGAATCGAACCCCGACCGTCCAGCCCGTCGCTATATTGACTGATGTATCTCGTCTCTCAGCTGTAAGCATACATAAAAAGGGATGTCTACTGGCGAGCCTGACCAAGCGATACAGAAACTGTTTACCACTGTTTTATGAACAAATGGAACATTATAAAATATGTGTAAATCAAAAAGTACCTTAAACAAACTAACTCAAACGCTGTATAAAATGAACTGACACCCAGAACATCACGAAGTATGAAAGCAGTGACCTACAGAATTAATATGTCCTTAAAAATTCTTAGCACAATTTATTAATGGTTAGATTTATTAAGCTTCTCTTCGTCTGGAAAAACAATGAACTTATTAGTGTCATCATCACTCCATGGATTAGGTGAGTCGTCTCTTCCGACTTCAAATATTGTTACTTCTCCCTCCACGTTTCATCCTTGTCTTCTGCGCATCGCTTACCAGACGGACGAAATTCACAGGCTTGAAGCAGAATGCGAGTCTCTTCACTCCTTCTTGTCTTGTCATCATCATCATCATCATCATCAGTAATCTGTCAAGACGACAGGTCCACAGTCTCTTTCAAAACAGTTCCTCCACTTAATGCGATCTAGAGCTTTCTCCTTCAAATGACAGTATCCTCTTCTGTCCCCAAGGTCATCCAGCATCTTCTTACGTCTTCATCCTCATCTTCTTGTCACTTCTATCCGCCCATCTATCTTTCCTTCGATAGCTTCTTTCAGAAGGCAGTGTCTGCGTAAAACATGACCAATCCAATTAGCCTTCCGTTTTCTTATTTCATGTAGGATATTCCTCTGCTCACTGACTCTGATTAACACTTCTTCATTTCTCACATAATCGGTCCAACTGATCTTCTCCATTCTTCTCCAACACCACATTTCGAAACTTTCCAGATGTTTCTGATCTACTGCCCTAAGTGTCCATGTTTCAGCCCCATACAGAGCTATGCTCCAAATGTAGCATTTCACTAGTTTCTTCCTCAAATTTAAGTCCAATTTGCTGGTAAAAANTCATCTGCATATTTCACAGTTTGAATAATTTGCCCTCCTACTTTGAAGTCACCGAGCCCATCCAGAGCTTCCTTGGTAAGGCATTTGTCTTGTATTCCACTTCAAATCTCCACGACCCCTTTACAGCAATGATATAAAATGTCAGGGTCCGAAGATAGGAACTAGCTCTATCGATTGGGCCCAACTGAGTAGGTTTTACCTGAAGATGGAGACAGAATCCAGTCTCCGAAACGTTGTGTTTTAATTCAAAACAAGATGATGGATAATTCAATTCAATTCTTTATTATGAGTGTTGGAACTTTGATAGTGGCAACACTGCTGTAGAGACGCCATGCAAGGAACCAAATAATGTCGCTTATACAAGTTAGTTACATACCTACCATACCTCAGAGCAAATGCACTCTCCCTTCCCATATCACCCGCATGCGCAGTGACGAGAAGAACAGGGCCTCGTGTTAGCTGGCGGTCTAATGTAGTGTTGTCAAGATGTTTTCGAAACAGGAACAGCGGAGTTGGATAAAAATTGAATGTGCCAGAGGCCGTACAGCACGACAGTGTCATAAAGGTATTCAAGAGGCTTGCGGGAAATCTGCATTGCCTTACAGAACAGTGGCAAGGTGGGTAAAAGCCTTCAATGAGGGACATCAAAATGTGGCAGACATGCGTCGGCCAGGTCGTCCTAGTGTCAGTGAAGAAGAAGTGTATGCCCTTTCCGCGTTACTGGAGAGTGATCACCGCCATACGATTCGTGAGCTGGCCCGAGAGACAGGATCAGCACATGCGACTGTGCTTCACATTCTGAAGGAAATTCTGAGAAAATTGCATCACGATGGGTTCCGCATGATTTGACGGAAATGCAGAAATGGCTACGATACGACGCTGCTCGTAACCACTTGGAGCGCTATGAGCGCAAAGGAGAGGCTTTCTTACGCAGTATCATTACGCTGGATGAGACATGGGTCAAATCGTATGAGCCACAAATGAAACGCCAATCGAATGAATGGCGTATGAAAATCAAGAGTTCGTCAGAAGAAAGAAGCGGCGACGCTTTCTGCAGAACCAACCCATCATTTTGCAGGACAGTGCTCTGCCGCATGCAGCACAAGCTGTGGCTGATTTGTTCGAGCGATGGGGCCGGGAAGTGCTGTACCATCCACCGTACTCCCTGGACTTAAGCCCTTGTGACTTCAACTTGATTCCTAAGATGTGGGAATCACTTCGTGGCATTCGCTTCAGAGCTGTTCCAGAGATTCTTCAGGCAGCAGACCGCTCCATTCGAACTATCAACACAACAGGCACTGCTAAAGGTATCCTACGACTTCCACATCGCTAGCAACGGGTTGTACACAATGCTGGTGACTACAATGAAGGACAGTAAAACTTCGAAACATGCATCTATTTTGTATCAGTTTAAATAAATTTATGTGCCGAGTCAACAGCCGCAAGGCCAATTACAAATGTTCAGAAACATAATATTTGTGCTGAAAAAGAGGCCTAATTATGAAGAAACCCGAATATAATTAACAAATTAAGTAACCCCAACGAGCCGAGTTCTCCTTCAGAAGCGAATAGCTTCCTAGTAGTCTCCTTTCTTCTGGGTTTCTCATCGAAATTCTTATGCATGCTTGCCAGGGCGTGTTGCATGCCCCGCCCTCCGGATTTGGCCATTCGAACACCTGGTGCGGAGTACAAATTATGACACTCCTCATTATGCAGTTTTCTTCAGCTACCCGTTAGTTCATCCCTCTTAGGTAAAACCTTTCCCCAAGGTACCCTGTTTTCGAAGGTCAATATACAGGAGAAACGCGTATTTGAACATTTACTGTAATCTCAACTCACGGAGACGTAAATGGAGTGGGATGGAAGCTCTCTGCAGTCTCATTCGATATACTATCCTAACATATGCTTTGCAGGACAGAAATAAAATAAAAACCTATCTCTTTTGAGTTTTTGCAAAATAATCAAAAACAGAGGACACTTATATTAAAGTTGCAATTCTATCCACTGCAAATACCACATACACGAGTGTACAAAGAGAAACGTCAATATTTAAATTAAAAACATCAATCAGTGTGGCCCCTGGTCACTCAGAACAACTGATGTTTCCATGCCACTGTGCACGCAAATTTGAAATGTTTACACCCACCACATCATTATGTCCCGGTAGACGGAGGTCTGAATGCATGGAAAGCCGTTGACTTACTTCCTACATCAGACCAAGCAAAACTGTTCATCCCCCTCCCCCCAACAGACATTATCCCACCCTCGAGACCAGTCAGCTCAGTATGAAGTGTCAAGCAAGAACTGAGATAAGGACAGTCAAGTCTAACGCACAATTAATATCCACTTGAAAGGGCCATTTTTTCTGCTGAAATAGCAATGCAAAATCAAAATCAGACCTCTCAGTGCATAACTACACTATAACCAACTTCAAGGAGCTGAGCCCTTCTCGACAAGCCGCCAGTTGGGTAACTATTCAAGAACTTCCCAGGATTTTATGGTACCCGATGATTCATTACCCTGTTCACAAGAGCCCTCCAATGGTCCCTATGGTGAGCCAGATCAATCCAGTCCACACTATCCCACTCCATCTCTCTAAGATCCATTTTAATATTAACCACCAACCTACGTTTTCGTCTTCCTAGTGCTTTCGTTTCTTCTGACTTTCCCACAACTGTCCTATATGCATTCCTCTTCCCTCAATCGTGTTACATGCCCTGCCCATCTCACTCTCCTTGACTTGGTCATTCTAATTATACTTAGCGAAGAATACAAATGCCGATCACAGTGACTGCGCGGTGTAAGGCATGAACTGTCTTCGCCCGCTCAAACACTGCGATCGTGGGTTCAAATCCAACTTGATGCATGGATGTCTGTGTTCTATTGTTCTATGTTTGTGCTTTCCTGTGTGCAGCTAGCGGCCTCGCGACGGGCTAATCTCCCGTCCGAGGGGTCCTACCGTCTGTGAAAAAGATCAAGAAACTGGAAAAGCGGCCAAGGTTCAACAAAAGGGCTGTAGAACCACGGATGGGTGGAAGGAAACAAAACTGCCAGACACCAACGAACATCGTTATTTCTGTCGCAATTTTTAAAAACATTTTTATTTACTTCCAATTTTTTTTACGTACTACTAAAAACCATATCATGCCTAAGACAGCGCGGCCACTATGATCGGCTATTTTGTGCTATTACTGTGAATTTTTTTTATAAATTCTACATGATGTTAACTGAGGGGTGGGCTGTGGAATTTTACTGAGGCACAATGAGGTCCCATATGGACAAAAAGAAAAAAATTTACGACTTTCTTTAGAAGTTGCATAACAGATGTGCCACCTAAGATCTCAGCATAACCAGTATTCATTCTTAAACTATCTCCATGGCGATAAGTCCATCTTGGGAAGCGAACAGCCGCCCAGTTACCAAGGAAATATCCCGCCTTTATGGGCCCCAAAACATCATAATTAAGCCGGGTATAACTTCCTTCATATTGCTTCTGGCCTATGGGCATGCATTAGCTATCACTGACGGTGGAAATATGGCTAGATTTAAAATACTAGAAGACTACATGCTGTGAAAACTAAACATATTACAAAAATAAAAGCACGCAGGGTTATCGTCAACATTAGCGCATTAGTCCCATCAATATTCTGCCAACTGGCCTCTACATAAACGCTAATGACGACTAAAAACATTCGGTTCCCACAGCAAAGTCTGTTAAGAACAATACATGAACAACAAACTAAATGCAAATTTAATGAGACGAGTTTAAAGCAACAGCAAAATAACATTATGTAAAAAGGGCGATGGGGGTTATTTCATTTCTATTTCGGTGTTATGCTTCACTGAAGTTTGTCAACAAACAGCTGATGCAAAACAAAGCAAGGGATTGCAAGAGGAAACCGATAAAACAGTGTGGCAGAGAAATTAAAAAGAAGGGAGGAGAGTGAAACGGAATTACAACCTTTCAAATCTGAGTTCCTTTTAGGTTTCTTCAGTTCCTCCTCTCAGTCAAACACACGTTTAATTCTCACATTATAATCTACAGGTCCCCGTGCCGATACACTTGTTACAAAGAGGGCACTACTTTCAAACACTCCATTCAGTTCGTATCGCGTTCATAAATTTTCGTTTATTTTCTAGGGGAATATAGTAATGACAAACAAGAAACCAGCAAGAGGAGCGGGGCAAGCTGATAAGAGGCAGTACGTTCGTCCGAAACGTCGGAGGACCTCTACTGGACTACAGAGTGTTACAACCCAGAAAACGGTACCTTTTATAGTCCTCTACAATTACGAGAAACACAGTTCTGCACACTGTTGCAGGTCCCTATCAGGCTGTACGGTGTCGGCAGGAACCTAAGTAGCTTTACAGCCTCTCTACACCTACAGTAAGCTATAAAATGTTCCTGTACAGTCACGAGAAGTGCAGTTCTGCGCACTGTTGCAGGTCCCTATGAGGCTCTACGGTGGCAGCAGGAACCTAAATAGCTTCACAGCCTCTCTACAATACGCTGCTGAAGTTCCAGTACAGTGACGAAATATTCAGTAATGTTCTGAGCCGACTGCTGCTACACTTTCCGGATGGAAATCTTATAGACTTCCCGGAAGTATGCACGGACAAACCTACACCTTAAACAATTCTTGAAAACACAGCGTAAGCCGCGCCCTATATCATCTCTCATTTTCAAAAGCTTTCGATGAACCTTTATTTTCAAATACGCCAGGATAGTGGGTGTCTACGAGATTGAAACCAGATACCTCCAGAATTCAAGTCCGAGGCATTATTGCTCAGTATCTTACCTTTGGACAAGTGTGTTCTGTCTGCTGTATAAGGATCATGGCAGATGCTATCAGCGCACCCTGGCGAACGAAGTTAACTGGGTCATTGGTCATCGGATCCAACAGTGCTATGGCTTCCTGCAACAGAACGAAATACACACGTGATGAGTTTAAACTCGCGTGACACGCCGCACACTCTTTGTCCTCTTTCAATTAGAGGTTGATAGCATTCACCGCGTGCGGGGGAGACAGACATAATGGTACAGTTGTCCTGCTCAGCTATTAACATCCAAATTGTTCTCCATGTCCAGCCTGCCTGCCTTCCAGTCCATCTGCCGTCTGCCATGTTGCGGCAGTACACAGCCCTCATATGTATCACAGGCGAACTGGCCCTCCAGTATGACCAAGCCCCTTCAACTACTAAATACTGTGACAAATATGGCCATTGTTCGGCAAAGACTCAGTATACACGTTCCAGTGAACACGCAACAATAGGAGCTGTGTTTTCTGTGGTCCGTGCAGCAGATATATAACGCGGTAAAATTAAAATTAGAGTTGTCCTCCAGTGTGGAGGCGGGGTTGAATACCTCCACCGTGACCCTGCGAGTCGTAGGAGGCGACGAAAAGGGAAGTCTCAAATCTGAGACAGTAAAATATGGTTGCGAGTACCAAGGGACTCGGACTTGAGAAAGACTGCGCTGGAAAGGGCCAGTAGCATGTAAAAAGGACATACCCGACCTCTCGTCAGAGAGGTAGTCCCACAAAAAACAAAACCGTAACGTTCAACAGTAATAAATATCTGGTCATGAGCCCCAGACGGGGCTCGACACCAGCACTTACTGACTGACTGACTGACCGTCAGTTGCAATGTGACTTTGACTTGGAGTAGAGTTGTCCCTGTGATTAACTAATTAAGCACTGCGCCACGAAGGCGTATGGGGGAGTGCATCTATAGATCTACGTTTTCTTGATCTCGTCGCTGGTTGGATGTTGTCAGCTTCACGCCACTGCTACTTTACTCCAGGGGAAAATGCCCCCGATACCCATTAGGTAGGAGGTTGGGTGGACGACTTTGAGAAGAGGAAATTCTTGCCCCCACCGGGACTCGAACTCCGACCCCTCGGTCGTGCAGCTATACCGACTGCGCTAACCCGTTATCCCAGAATAACTGTGAGTTCAGTTTTGAGTACGAGAACGAGAACGGATCATGTACTACTGATTTGTGAGGTGGGTGGATTAGCGGTAAAGCTGTGATTGATTGTGATTAAGAGAGATTGTAACATAAGTATTCATAAATCGAATAATCCAACCCAGAAGCCGTTATTCTCAGTCACGGAATCCCGGACACTGACAATTCGTGTACTTTACCACAAATGGGAAGTGAAATTCAGATTCGGAACTTACCTGTTACCCTCTGTGTCTGCCGGTTATGTGTTTACTGACATTTTTACTTTCCTACTTTTAATTGAACATGTGGAATGCGGGAGCAGGGATAGCGGCTGGCCACGGGATGGACGGCCGAGGGGTCGGAGTTCAAGTCCCGGTATAGGCAAGATTTATCTCATCTCCACGTCATCCACACCAGTTGTGGGATCCACCCAGCATCCTATCCAACTGGTACCGGGGGCTCTTACAATGGGAGTAAAGCGGCCGAAGCGTGAAGGTGACCACTCACCAACGAAATGCTGAAAGCACACGTTTTCATGGCGTAGTGCTTAATTAGTTAAGCACGGGGATAAGTTTACTTTTCGCCTGCCGCGTCTCAAGACGTAAAGTACAGATATAGAGTGTGATTAGGGCACTTCTATTTCGTTTTTGTAACCACGCGGGGTAGGACGCTAGGACAAATGGTTATGAAGCAATGAGGAAAAGCAATATTTTGGGGTTCCTCAATGTTGGCGGGGTACTTAAACTGGAAAAAAAAAAAAAAAATTAAAAGGTGGCTTCCTATTGGTCTGCCGGGGAAGGGAGGGGACAGGAAAGAGGTTGGCCCTAAGACTGCTTCATACAATTTCTATCTGTTGCAACAGAGAACAAGAGTAACCCAGCAATAAGACGCACGAAATATCACGTGCAAAGGTACAGTTCATGTGAATCCCTTAGACCAGTGAGCGGTGATTAACCGTGGAAAGCGGCAAGCAATAACATGGATAAAAATCCTGACAGGGCGTTCTATAATTTCTTGCTTCAATTGTCCTCATTATAACTCCTTTGCATGGAGAGAGTAGAAAGCGCCTTTCCAACAGCACCTCCTTTGCCGCGGGAACGTGTTTAGCGATCCGTTGCCTAAAAACGTCTCTATACGCTACAGTATTACGGGACAGCAAGCGCTGCGAGATATGTTTTCAGTTCGTTCTGTAATCTGCCTTTCGTCCATTTACACGCTGTCCATAGATAATGCGAGTGACGTATTGCTTAGTTATAGGTTATGAAAAAGTAATCAGTACTCTATCCCCTATTGCCGCAGCCAACAGTTAAACAAAACTAGGCAAAATAAACCCAACAGAATCCATTAGGTAGCAATGTTTGAAATGACGTTAAAACCTATTATGGAGAATTGGAATGGCCAATCCGCCACCGACAAGGAATGGTACCGGATACTGACAGGTGTAGAGGGGGCTCTAAGTGACGTAACTACACTTCACTTTACCCTTCCAGCACCCCCCTTGTCCTGTGTGCATGATTGACTGCGCTGCCATGTCGCCTGTACACTTGAAACACCATCCAGGCACGTTCAGAGGCCGGCCATTCTCACTTGCCACTCAGTTACGGGCTTTCCCTATCCTGAATGAGGGATGAAATGTATCTTCCACTTAATGCCATCCACAAAAATGAATGAAATAATCAAATGTAACACACAGAATAAAACATACTGAGTGTAATATTACTATAAATTACATAAAAATAAAAACTTAACAATTCCACAAGGCAATTCCTGTCATGACAATGCGACGTGAGGGTGCAATAAGAATTTGTCTAATGGTGACCCAGTAGCATTTGACATAAAATGGGTTATCAATGAAGCTCATAAATATTAAAGAAACGCAAGCAAAATTAAAAAAAAAATCGAATACATTATTTTATTGATTATGGTAACAAGTTTCAAGGCAAAGGGCGGTTTAAAAATTTCTAAGTTTCAATTTAAAATTTCACTTTAGTTTATTGCTTGGTTTATTATTAGACCCTGAAGACGGAAGCGATATGTGCCTCCGAAACGTAGGTTTATTTTCAACGGCCTACACAGTCTTATATAACCACCGCTGTGCAAACCTCAAATCCTACAAATGTAATTTCATTCAACTTAATGAAGATTACAATTCAGCTTCATACTCGTCCTATATGTGAATTGTTGACATACATAAAATGCTTCATACAAAAGTCTAAGAATGCGCATGGTCTGCTTCTATGTAAAACTTCACATGATTGGTTGAAGTGACTCATTAGTTAAGGCTACGAACCTGGAAGATAAATTTTGATTCTGAGCGCTGCTTTGTATTCAACAAAAGTTTACTTTAAACAAGGCTTGCAGGTTTTTGGAAGACATGCTGCCACCCAACCGTGAATCACTTTACGCGACAAACACTTCCAACCGCGAACAGGAAACATTTCTTTATGAATATCCTTTGCATTTAGTCCTTTTGACCACAAAAGAACGCTGCTCTTCGGTGGCACAAACCTCCAAGCAAGATCGCCATTTTGACTACTGAAACCAGCCTCTGAACATGAGCATGCGCTTCTCCTACGTAGACTACCATGAAGCTGGGCTGTGCTGCTACCTTGTGATACATATAGAAAACCTAGTGCATCCATTACAGCTGTTTAACTTCCATTTGTGACATATTTACTGACTCTCCCTCTCGTAGTAAGCATGGAAGTGAAGTGTATAATGTTCTGGTACAAGAGTGTGAGAGCAGGAGATCACTAAAAAAAACAGGCTTAGGTGAGAGGATAATTTCAGGAAGGTTACATGTGAACTATAATCATCTTGCTCAGAATAGGGACCAGTGGGGGGGGAGGGGTTTGTGAACACGGTAACGATCCTATGGATTCACAAAATTCTAGCAATTTCTTGAGTCAGTAAGCAAATAGTAGCTTCTCAAGAACCACTTAGCTCTGTGAAGTTCATCAAATACCAAGATACAAGATTTCCACAGTGTTTATTACCCATGTCACTTCTAACTACTGACAGCATAACTTATCTTGTTAATTTATACCATTCGAACAGTTACACAATCCATCGCCCCCTTTCATTAACCTCGCTGAAGTTCCCTATTTTATAGCCCCACTCCCCTCTGCACCAACCAATCAAGGCTTAACCAACTCTCTTCCAAAGCCAACAACCCTGAAGACGGCAACTGTAATGTCTGCCGAAATATTGGGAACCCTTCAACATTCTACCCAGCGTATTCCCCAATAAGCAGACGTTATACATGATACACAGTGAGGTAAGACCGAGTTCACTTGGTACTGCGGCCACTACTGGCCTATTGTATCAGCCCCAGGTGATAGGTGAGGGTGATTGTGGAGCAATTGGTGGAATGAAGATTTGCAGGGGAAACAGAAGTACTCGGAGAAAACCTGCCCCACCGCCACTTTGTCCACCACAAATCCCACATGATCGGACCCGGGCGGTGGGAAGCCTCACAGTAAACATGCTATTGGAACAGGCCGACTGAGGACCAGTAGGTATACCTGAAATATGCTTACCAGTGACGTCACACAGATGTCATACGCCTATAGCTGAAAGGACTTCGCTTTATGGGAACTACGTAACAAAACTTAAATATAAAGGAAGAAATTCCTCAAGAGAAATTCCAACAATCCATATACCGTACGTATATACAAAACAGTATGCCGTTTTCTTTAGATAATTGTTTTCTTCTTCTAAATGGAACCAGAGACAAGGTTTTCGATGTTTGGGATGGAGATGTTAGCATTTTACATAACTTCTATTTACATTGCCTGGGCCCCAACGGGCCATATTCTAAGAATAACAATGCTCAACTGAGAGACGTGATTCCATCAGAACTGAAAACAGCAAGAACAAAAAAGACTAAAAAATCAAGTAAAAAACCACACAAGAAAGTTTAGACGTTTCTGTATGGAATGCAAATGGATGAGAATTTACAATAGGAACA